GCAGTACAGAGGTGAGAGACATGGAGATAAGAGAGGGGAAGTCTGACAGGGTAAGGTCCTGAAGATGACAGGAGGAGACCAGAGTCAAATGCCCATGTGGCTGAGTTGACCTTAAAGGCCTACTTCATTCTCTGAGACTGGAAATAAAAAAGGACGGAGGTGGTCATAGGTGGGGAAGAAATCATGCTGATGGACTGTCCCTTCTGTTTGAATTAAGCAGCAAAGCCATCTTCTGAGAAGGAAGTGGTCTGAAAAGAGAGCAATAACATTTGTTATAACTGATGAGAATGGGCAAAGGAACTATGCTAAGTCATGTCAGAGGATGGATAGGTGACTGAGATTTGTTCAAGGCTGCAATAATGAAAGAGCAGTCTAAGCTGGACAAGTAGCAAAGAGGAAAACAGAAGGTGTGGTTCAGTAGAAGAAAATGTTGGAGGTAAAGTAACCAAAACCTCACAGACCAACTTGGATAAATCACCTATAGAATGCTGAAGATATTGAGAATAATGACCAGAATCAAGGATGGCAAGGAACCCTGTGAGCCAAAGCCTCCAGCAAATCAAGGGGAATGATTAGGCAGTTATAAGACTAGAGGCAGCTGATAGTGTAACCTCTTAGCATGAGCCTCAGAGGCAGAGATTTTTGAGAGGCGTTAACGATGGAGTAGGGGGAAGGACAGCAACCACTGTATCTTGAGATATGTAGAATGTGAACACAGCCCACGCTGGTGTGAGCTGTAGAGGATGGCAGGTGGCAGCCAAATTTGTTATGGGCAAGGCAGTGAAGAGAAAAATCAAAAGAAAAGGCTAAGATGTAGCCAAGAATGGCCTAGGAAGGGATCAGTAACTAGAACATAATACAGAATGGAGATAAGTGAAGACAAAAATGGATGACAAGGGAGGTTTGTACTTTTATTTAAAAGACTGCAGAAAAACCAGGAATGAGCCTCACGGATGCTTCCTTTCTGAAATCCCATGCTTACCATTCAATTCATCACTGTCTCCCATACGTGATTCATCTTCACTCTAAACTGCCTCCTGTCTCTGTAAATAGTGCCATTAACATCCAAGTTACCCAGGCTTGAAAAATGGATACAAAATGGACTCAATCCTTACTCATATATCCAGTCACTGAATCTTGAGTCTTCCTCTGAAGTGGCTTCAGCATCCACTCCTTCCTTATTACTCTGGCCATCCTCTGAAACCAGTTCTCATGATTTTAAGTCTAGATTCCCATACCAGTCTCCTAGGCAGCACAGCTAATTAATGTCACTTCAGTTCAGGCAGAGAGCTTTTGGGGTAAGTCTGGGTCAGACTCCCAAGTCCACTACTCATTCACTGTGACCTTGGAAAACCTATCTAAACCTGTTTCATTTGTAAAATGGGGAATAACACCACTTTCCTCTGAGGAGCTATTCCAAGAATAAGACATTCTTTTACCCTGTTTTATAACAGGGTAACACTCTTCGTCATTTAAAAGAATTACGCTTTGAGAACACAAAATAAAGCTTTTTTTAAAAGCCATTCAGAAATAGGAAGGTTTGGGAAATGATTGGCATTTGCCAATCAAGAAAATGTTGTACCTCAAACATCTGAAGATAGCAATCTGTTTTTCCTTTCCCCGCAGCTACCCTTATTGGAAACATAAGGGAATAGAAAGTGAAAACAGGCAATGTTTGCCTGTTTTTATAGTTTTTAGCCTTACCACTTTTCAGTTTGGGGACTGAATGCCTTTGGCTCAGTAGATTCTACCGGCTTTGGGGAGCTCAGAAAGGCCATAATCGGGCCTACTGGAAGAGGAAAAAGAGAGCTGACCTCTAAGGGCAGGCCTTAGGTACAAGCGGCTTTTTAAAAAAAGTGACAACACTTTTGAACTAAAAATGGAAAATGTAGTCTGACAAAGAATATTTGTGCAACTTTACAGTGCAAGTAAAATCACGTGAAAAGCTTGGATAGCCATATGCAGGTGTTTCTGGAACATGTCAGATTGTGTGTGTGTGTGTATAATTTTTTTTTGAGACAGTCTTGCTTTGTAAGTGTAGTGGCACAATCTCAGATCACCGAAATCTCTGCCTCCCAGGTTCAAGCGATTCTCCTGCCTCGGTATCCCAAGTAGCTGGGACTACAGGCGCCCTGCCATCACACCCAGCTAATTTATGTATTTTTGCTAGAGATGGGGTTTCACCATGTTAGCCAGGCTGGTCTCCAACTCCTGACTTCAGGTGATCCGCTCGCCTCGGCCTCCCAAAGTGCTGGGATTATAGGCATGAGCCTCCGCGCCCGGCCCATGTCAGATATATTTAAAACTAAGAAAGCCTGGGAAAATCTCTGCCAAAGATCTCCAAATCAGTTAACCCCGTTCCACAGGGTCAGAAGGGCAGAGTGTCTTAGTGCAGATGCCTGCATAAAGATAAAATATTTCATGTTCTTGGAAAATATGGCTAGACCACTCTTCTCATACCATCCAGCTGCAGTATAAATTAGCATACCCATGTGGAAAAGTGATATGAATCAACAACTACAAAAGTGTTCATATACCCTTGACCAGAAATTCTACTTCCAGTATCTATCCTAAGAAAATAATTTATGCACAAAGACATTCACCATGGCATTATGAGATACAATCTAAACTGTTCAAAATAAGGACAGGTTTTATGAATCATGGTACATCCATAACAACGGAGTACCATAAAATTAACAATAGTTGACACAGTTTTTAATGACATGGAATAATGCTTGTAGATTGAGGGGAAAAACCCCAAGATACAAATTACACTGAGAATGATGAAACTATGTAAAAATATACAGAAGTAGCAAAGACACTGGCAACGAATATGCAAAAATATCAAGTGATTTTTTTCTGGTGACAGAATTATAGGCAATTGTTAAACTTTTCTATATTGTCTAAATTTTCCCCAATAAGCATGTACTACTTACATAAACAGAAAAAACAAACATTATTCAACCAGGCAAGCATTAACGAATGGACATTGTATACAGCTTTATTTCTTTCTTTTAGGAATTGCAGGTTCCTAACAAAGTGGGGGTGAGGGGGGTGTTACAAACCAGTCACTTGGCAGGAACATTAGACTCCAAAAGCAGAGAAATGCTTAATTTTCTTCTACCTGTTTCACCACATTCATGTAGAATTGTAGTAAAAAAGATGGTGAATCAGGTTGAATCATCAATCTACATGACAACTTAAAGCTCCCAAATCACATGAACCCAGGACCACTAAATCTAATGTCAGACATGTTTAAATGGTGCACTGCTCTACATTTTTCTATGATGAAAAGAGCTAGAAAATAATGGTAATGTCATTATGACATTCCATGAAAATGGAGGAAATCTTGCAGGAAAAATTAAGAAAATAAAAATGTTTACTAAAGAAAGAATGGTCTGGCTAAGTGCTTTTTTTGTTTTTTGTTTTTTTTAAACCAACTGAAGGCCAGAGAAATGAAAGGCATACCTATGAATTAAATTAATGTTTTAAAAAAATTGACTTTACTTAAAATACAAACAAATGTCAACTAATGAATACTTTATTGGCAGAAAAAAAAGACAACTTGGCTGGAAATGGTGAGTGTCTTGGACTGGTCTAAAGGAAGAACATCTGAAAGGTCTGAATGTCAAAGTCAGAACAGTCTCTGGTCAATCCTACTTTGCCTAAAATCCAACATTTTACCTTTCTTCAAATTCCTCAAGACTAAGGAAAACTTGGTTTTATACCAAGAATTATGAATCAACCTATACTTGCCATCCCTTACATCATATTTTCATTCTAGCTTTTCTGAAACACATTACCATATAAATGCCATATAACCTAAATTCACCTCAATGCTTTCATTTTGCCTTTACAATTATCTAAGGACAGATGCCAAGTTTTTATAACTTCAGGCTAGAAAATCCTGAAGTGGTTCACCTAATGGTCAGAAAGTGAGTGAGTGAAAACAGACCTCAGGCACAAAGCTATTTTCAGCACCAATTACACTGTGGGGGATTACCAGAGCAAGAAAAGCCCTTCATAGTTCTAAGTGAAGAAAGATAAAAACATTTTATTTTGGCCGGGCATGGTGGCTCATGCCTGTAAATCCCAGCACTTCGGGAGGCCAAGGCAGGCGGATCACCTGAGGTCGGGAGTTCGAGACCAGCCTGACCAAAATGGAGAAACCCCGTCTCTACTAAAAATACAAAATTAGCTGAGCGTGGTGGTTCATGCCTGTAATCCCAGCTACTTGGGAGGCTGAGGCAGGAGAATCGCTTGAACCCTGGAGGCGGAGGTTGCGATGAGCCAAGATTGCGCCATTATACTCCATCCTGGGTAACAACAGCAAGATTCAGCCTCAAAAAAAAAAAAAAAAAAAAAAAAAATTTGATTTTAGGAGACTGACAATTACAGTTCATTTCCTAAGATAATCTAGGTGACAGCTAAGACAACCCCTCTGAAACTCCCTTATATCTGGTTAAGCAGAAATCTGGGGTAGCAAAATAAACTACTAGAAAGTTAGGGTTTGGATAAGAAACAGTGACCATATTAAAGTCTGATGGCTCAGTAATCATGATGCTGCCATAAGGCCAAAATCATAAAGTACTAATGCTCAAAGACAGATACACAATGTAAGCTCCAACTTCAAGATGATAAACTTCAAAGTGTATTTTTTAAAATGCAAATTGCCTGTATGAAATAAATTAAAAATTTATATGTAATTTCAGTGTAAAACACCAAACTGAACATTAAAACTGTTCACAGAAAACAGAAAAAAAAAAAAATCACAATTACAAAAGCACAGAGGTATCAGTTATAAGAACCAAGTAAATAAACTAATTTCTGTTAATATTTTCATTTACTTTATAAAACTTTGTTGATTAAATTGGGGAGTCTCTGACAATCTAAAGGGTAACAAAATAACAAATATACATCATTTCTTTATTAATTATGCCACACAAATCAAGTTAAATTTTTTCTATCTGATTACAGAGTCAATAAAAATTGCATCTGTATTTAGAGCAGCAACATAAAACTTTATGAGAAAGAAATATTATATCTGGACCAAAAAACTACAACGTGGGTTGGAAATCTAATGACTAAGAAAGTAAAACTGGCAACTATGTGCAACTACAGCTCGTAGATTCGGGTTTTTTCCCCCCACATCTTTAAAATAAGCAGCCCCCACAAAGGGATAATCCCTTGAATAAGGAGACGATGTAGCCAAAGAAGGGATGATATGGGAAACCACATGAAATTAAATCAACATAAAAAGAATACACAAAGACCATGGAAACTTGAGAAGGTTAAAACAAAACTAAAACAAAACAAAACAAAAAAACAACAAGAAAAACAAAACCCAAGCAAGGACAAGTAAGCTCCTTGGAGCTGAACCAACTCTTAAGTAGTATGCCCCTATTCTAACTGAAATTGATGAGTCCTCCCCTGGGCACTTCAGTTTGAGAAATCAATTGGTTGGATTGGCCATTAAAACAAGGACTTCGTTTTTAAGATAAACCTTAGAGAGAGAAAGCTAAACAGAAAAGTACTAAATCCTTGTGAACTCAAAAATGATTTAGGAAGTCAAATGAAGCAAACTATAAAACTTGGATGAAAATGTTTCTCTAAGAATAAAATCCAGTTTTCTGTGTGATTTAAAATCAAACCAACACATTACAGAAGAAAATTTTCAAAGTGCACCCAATACAACCTCAGAGATTCCCTGAAGTGTTTGGGGTAGCATGGATTGAGACAGGAAGTGGGTTCAGGCCCATCTTCCCCAACGCTTCTTCACTTTAATTCAAACATTTATAATTCTCTTTTGTCTTTTGTAGTTTCAGGGAAGATTTCGTTTTTAAAAAAGGAAAAAAAAAATCTAATGCTGTCCCTTTTTCTAAGTTTGGAAATCACTGCTGAGACTGAAATTACATTGGTGAGAAATATGATCATCATAAATCTAAAACACATTTTCTATGTCAGTGCTACCAAAATACAAAGTTTCATCAAGTATTTCACTACTATTCTGTAAAATAAATGAGAAAATTAAGTTCTTGGGAAGAAATTAAATTTTGTTATTACCACCTCCCAAAATTTGCTCTTCTGCTGGCTCCAAGATATCAATATTTGATAGTGTGAACAAATTTCTAACAAACATTTCAGTCACACCGTACCCCAAAGACATTTCATTCAATGGCTGCATAGGGTTTCTTGTTTGAGAAGACAAGCCTCAAATTTATAGAAAACTCTAGAATGAAGAATGTACAATTACTAAAAACATAATAACACACATTATGTCAAGGGCAGAATCTGCATAGTGCTCTTAAAGATAATCACCAATGAAGAGTAGCCAAATCCCAGAACTTCACACAGCATTCATTAGCAAACAACGTCAAAGTGTAAATGATAAGCAGGAAAAAAGCCAAGTAACATAAATGCTGTTTTTCTTTGATGGGATCATGAAGAAAAGTGGAACTGCAGGACGAAGAGTGGAATCCAAGCTTTGGCCACGTACTGAAACTTCATTACTTCAATGAAACAGAACAAATCTCCATGGAAAGGACTCATTCAGCAAACATTAATTTCTTTCCATTTTTTTTTCCTTCACGTAGGTTAAACAGAAGTTGCTGTCATTCTAGAATCACTGATTACAATTTTTTTTAATTAGAAAAAAAGTTACTTGAATATTTACATAATTTTATTGCTCTTTAACAAAAACTTTTTTCATTGATTTGTAGACTCCATCCATTAATGTATGAAAGTGAAATCCATCTCTCAGGAAGTTACAGTTATGGCTGAATGTATCTGATGCTGAGAGTACAGCATAATTATGCAAAATCCTTGCATGTCATTTGGTTCTTGTTGCAGTCTTCTGTGTTCACCTCTCAGAAAGCAAAAGAATCCATCTGACTTTCAATAAATACCAAATTGTTAAAAAAAAAAAAATAGTTTCCACAGATTAGAGATCCAAGAAAAAGCAGTTCTGATGAATGATTCCCAGAATCAAGTGAGTCCTCCTTTAGTCCAATGAGATGATGTCAGGAATGTTACTTCCACTGCTGGTTATGACCCCTGTCTCACTCCTGCTGCTGGATGAACTAACATGAGTACTGCTTTCATGGGAGCTGGTGGTGGTGACAGACGTACTGCTTGCTGTTAAGGGTGAGGTGAGACTATCCAAAAACATAGGAGGACAGTACTGCTTGAAACAAACAATGATGCCAATGAGGAAGAGGCTACTTGATTTTAAATAAAGAGACTAGAAATTATTAGATATGCATAAGCAATATTCACATATTTAAATCCCGCTGGGATTTAAAAATTGCTCAAAACTTCACATCTTTGGGTGGAAGGTGGCATGAATTCAGCTATTTTACATTATTTAGAGAATGCAGCATATATTCTTGATTCTCTCTAAACTTGTGGAACTTGTTTGCTGACCGCATACAAAGGTAAAAGTATAATGTCAACAATAACTTAAGTCATTTAATACTAAATATTGGCCCTCCAATGACAACTCATACTTAATCTCAAAAAGAATTTGCTCTCTAACTGTATTTAGTTGGGTGTCAATTTTGAAAGAACTGTTGAGCTTACACTGGCATTTTTGCTTAATAACATTTTAAAAAGTATTTGTTAGCCTTTCCCGGTGTGAATTAAGTATCAAACAGACCCTTTATGAAGGTTAAGGCTGACCAGCTGAATGATGGCATTGGACTCCTTTGTACATAAACATAAAATACCTGTGTCATCAGAATGACAACATTCATTCTAAAACACAGACTAGATGGTAGCTAACTATCACAGGATCCTCAGGACAGAAAATAATCTCAGGTAATCACAAAGTTTCGCAATAAATGTTAAAGAAGATCTAATCTAATCTTCTTGTGATGCCTGTTTAACACCCCTTTCCTAGTGCTCATATTTCACAAGTTCCCTTACAATCCTGGTTACTGATCCCATCACTGATCCAAACAAGTACAAACCTGAGTGTACTACTCTAATATTAACAGAGGAGTGAAGACAGATGAGCCAAAAGCATTGTATCTGTATAAAATATTTTATGTGAGAAACGACTGCACTGACTTTAGCAAAACAGGAGGTCTTAGTGATATCCTGCAAGAGATGTTTTAAGTTTGTCATTAGTTCAACTGTATGAAAGATCAGTAAGGATATCTGACTCACATTCCCCATTCTCAAGATTATGTAGCTTATCATTAGAGACACTGGATTACGGGAACAGGAATTTAAAAGTCAAGTTGTTTAGACTACATGATTTCCAAGGCTGGTGAATAAAACAGAAACAACAGTCCCAGGTTTAAGTTGCCAGTCAGAGGGACAGCAACAACTAAAATTCAGACTGCCCTTCAAAAGAACAAGTTATTCAACGCTTTGAATAGATAACTGTTTTGGTTCATCAATAAAATGAATGCCACACACAGAGTCAAGGGACATTAGTTACAGGGAGAAGAACAGTTCTTAAAGAGCTTCCAAGGAGCTCTAAAGATAGTTGAATTGTCAGGTATTAAAACTCTTTTCTAAAATCAAATCAATTTCTAACTTTCCATTAAAACTGGGGGGTAAATCTAGAATAAAGCCAAGAAACTTACATTTCATTCCTGCTACCTCTCAGGCAGTTTTTGATTGCCTCATAGGAAAAAGATACTCATTTATGAAAGTAGTCCTAGATGCTACAGTCCTGCCATCAACAGGCTCTGCACTGAATTCTTAGAAGTATTCAGATTGCAGCCACTTAAGTTCTAACCCTGCATCCCTTATTGTAGATACAATGACAAGAATTAAGGGATAATATGGAGGTCAAGTAGTAAAACCTAAGGATTCTATGGCAAACTGTAAGGCCCCACCTCACCCTTCTACTACGGAGTCACCAAATAAGTTAGACCACTGCTAAATATACAAAATAGAGCTATGAAATAAAAACCTCTAGGTTCCAAGATAATTTTTTGTAAAAGAACTGGTCACATAAAAATTAGTAATCCCTTACATCTGAAGAATCCATTTCCTAGAAAAATACAGATACCTTTGCTAGGTACCTTTGTTATATATACTGCTAGAAGGAGGTCAACACCGAATGACAAGAAATTCCTCAGTCTGCACATAAATTTCTGGCGCTGTTCATGTAATCTGATACAGAGTACTGAAACAGGAGGCTGATACAGGACCTCTCCTCCTCTGCTCTGACTCTGCTATAAGCCTGTCTGTGCAATCCATGCTCACTGTAAGGTCTTCACGTTGGGACTCTGGGCTACTAGGGTTTCTCATCTTTGACAGAGAAAACAGGGATGATTGACATATAGCAACTTTAAACTGGGGCCTCCCCAAAGTCCAAATTTGAATGTCTTTAAAAACAATGAAGAATCAAGCTAATGAGTCAAGTCTGTCTAATCAGGTTTAGCTATTGATTTTCTATGTACAGAATGTTTTAGCTAAAAAATAAAACTGTATTTGTAAAATTTTAACTTGCAGCCACCCAGAACTGCTTCCATTCATTCTAATCATTCAAATGCTTGTAAGAGATGCCAACTGATTAAGCTAAATAAAACAGAATTTAAAATTTAGATATTAAAGACAAAAATCATAAACTGAAAACAACTTTATTCCTTCAAATAAATTGTGAAATATTTGCACAGTACTTCCTTTCCATCAATGTAAGTAATTCAGAGTTGACTGTCCTGATTTTATGCAACTGGTCATTTTTAGTTAGTATGACATAACCAACAATCAAATACAAATTAGTTGCTTAAATTCAGGATACATACCTGGGGATCAACTGGAATAAGGGAAAGAAAATCCAAACCTAAAACAAAAATGCTTTGTTAATAGTTGTCTCATATTTTAGGAGACCAGAATTATTTCCCTAAATCATTTTTATCACAAATCACAAAACATTTGTGGTAAGTGCTTACCACTCTGCCACAGGGAAGTTCTATACCATGATTAGTGATATTTGAAGTGTTTAAAACCCAAAAATGAATATATTCTCTGATAAAACAACTGGAAAAACTAGCTCCCAGAGACTCAAAGAAGTACAAAACTTTTCAGAGAAGGACTAGTCAGAACAAATGTTTCCCCCTTTGCAGCTTAACAGAATGAGAAGCAATAAAAATGATGAGCTAATGATCTGGATTTGAACCTTCAAAAATAAAAAAACAAAAAAACATACTTAAGCTCTTAAGATATTTCACATTTATTTTTCAGAAATACAGAGGTTCATCTAAGTATCACCTCTTAAACAGATGTCTATTTCAATGATAGCTCTCTGTTCCAGCTGTCCCCACATCAAGAGCAGTACATAGTCCAACGCTCTGCACAAAGCACACACTCAGGAACTGCTGCGCTAACACGGTTAAATTATTAAGGGTTACTGGGTTCTGAGCTAATGTAATTTTCTGAACCAGAGAACTGTAATTGTTCAATTAGGTTTTAGAAAGAGGAATGTGTAGAAGATTGTCCAGTAATATAATTTTGACATATTCAAATAATAATAAATACAATTTTTAGGTCTGAAAAGTCTAGTAATAAACTTCAATGTCTGTTCACCTAGACCTCCCTGTGTGACTTAATTCTCTTTAATTATTTCAAAACATTAAAAAAGAAACCATACGTCATTAAGACAGGCCAATTTCTATTCAATTCCACGATTTTTATGCTGGCATTCAGAGACACTCTGAATATAACCACCACACAGAGAAAGTCTGACGTTATGCTTTTATGCAAAATAGACAATATCAGTGGGGACATTTAAAATATTTACTAACCAGTATGAATTTATAACTCAAAAAATTTAAATATATTTATTATCTTATAATCTCCAAATAATGGTATTACAAAAATGCTTATCAAGTGATACAAGCTATAGCACCAATCATTTGAAAGAAATCATTCCAACGATTTCTAAAGCCTTTTTGAAAATTGTTGCTACAGATTTTTTTTTTCCTTTTTTGGGAGACACTGAGTCTGCTTTGTTGCCCAGGCTGGGATGCAGAGGTACAATCATAGGTCACTGCAGCCTTTACCTCCTGGCCTCAGCCTCACAAAAAGCAGGGGCTACAGGCGTGTATCACCATGCTTAGCTAATTATTATTATTATTATTATTATTTTTGTTTTTAGAGAGAGGGTCTCGCTATGTTGCCCAGGTTGGTTTTGAACTCCAGAGCTCAAGCGATCCTCCCACCTCAGCCTCACCAAGTACTGGGATTACAGACACAAGCCACCACACCCAGCTTGCTGTAATTTTTCATTTCATATGTCTGTCACTAGCTATATGATACGATGGTTTGAGCCAATACTAAACCAAAGAGAATTACAACAAACTTTTCCAATGACTTCTCTATTAAAATAATAGGTGAGATATCTCAATAAGCAGACTTTGTCTTCATATTGATACTATTCAGTAAATCATCTCTCTGCTTCTGCCAAAGAACTCAAAATTTGTCTAGCCCTTGTAATACCTTCAGAGTTTTACATTTTCAATTTCTATTATTAAGTAAAAAAAGTTTATTGGAATGTTATTTATTTTGTTCTGCTTCAAATGGTATAACCGTTTTCTTTTTACAGTACCTTCTATCTTTTCAGTTTTTCGGTTTTCTTCATATTTATAATAGTTTCTACCTTTTTATAGTTTTTCAGTTTCATACACTCAATCACCTTTAATATTTTGTTGTATCTCTCAGTTCATGTTAGTAACTGAAACCTTTTTATAACACTAAAGTATCGACGATGGTGTTGGAATATTGTGTACCGATGCCAAGCCACTCAAAAATGCTCATTTTCTAAATGTTCAACTATTTCCATTTCATAATTTCAGTTAAAATAAATATGCAAGCTTGATATGAAACAGTTTGAAAATCATATCAAGCCTGTGTATTATTTTAATTGAAATTAAAAATTGAAGCTGTATCACTAGAGAATGCCCACTGAGGATCCTATTTTCATTATTTCCATTCCAGTTCTTCAGATGTACTGTAATTCTCTTTGATGATTTCATGTGTGCAGTAAATACAAAGTTTATTTAGAAAAGAATTAAGAGATTTACTTATCTGTATCTTGATACCTCATCCACGGAAAATTGAATGTGGTGACTTATACAACACCGTAATAAAATATCTAGAAATTTTTCTAAAATTTTGGTTGGAATTCTAGATTGTTTACCAAGCATTACAAGGGTGCTGTCTATATAAAATCTGTTTAATGTAAATATTTCTCTCACTGAATCCATTTTTTTCTCAAGTACTAACAGTGAAGTTTGGTATCGTATTTTAGATGCTATTCTTCCTAAGAAAAAAACGAAATCATCCAAGTCTTCTTGCATTTTACATTTTAAGCAGAATATTAAAACTCTTATATGAAATAAAGTTTCATCAGTAGTGATTAAAATTTTACTGCCTTGTTTCATAAGTTTATTAGCAAAATGCAGTTTCTTATTTCACCGTAAGTTTCAATTGCAGCATGCCATACTGATACATTTTTATGCCCTCCTAAGTATTTCATGGTTGAAAATGGTCAATCACTTTTAACTAAAAAGCAGGTAGTGTTAACACTATTTTATCAACACTGATAAAATTTTAATTTTAAAATTTTAAGTGCTTCACTGTGAAATTGACTCATTAAGACTTTTTTCCTTATTGATGACAACACATTTTCTTTGAGTCATAAACTTTAACAAAACATAACTGCTACATGATTAAATATGTAAATGTTTAGCACTTTCAAATTTTAATGATACAACTTTTGAGCACCATTCGCACCTGACAATATGGCACTAGCAATAATAAGGCAGTCATATTTTTCCTTGAAATAATCAAGCTGTTTTCCACTCCATAAATACAAATTATTTGTTTTATTTTGTATTCACTGTTGCACAGTATCAGAAGATGTTCCAAGCTTCAGTTCATTATTAATATCATGTCTTCTTTGTTCTCCTGCAGATTCAGAAGATTCATGTTTATGTTTAAAAGGAATGTTAAGAAATGTATTAAAACTTTGTTATCTCTCCATTCTTGGTGTTCTATTTAATATTTTATTATAAATTATTAAGTTTATCAATACTAAAATTCTTCACAGTATAACTAATTACATAAAAATTATGCATAAAAATAAAACCAAATTACTAATCACAAAAGAGCACATTAACAATAAAATCAAAGTAAAACTAAACTATTTAGATATAGTAATTGCTACATAATTAATACATGATGATAAACTAGCAATTCTTCTAAAGAACAATAGATCCTATTCTATTCAGTTATCAATTGGTAAGAAAGCTTTTCAATAACAACAACCAGTATCACCATAATTGTTAATATTGGCTAAATATGAGCCTTGGATATTAGTCTTGTTTGCTCAATACCAGCTTGAAACGCATTTTTACCAAATACCCAGTTCAGACATATTTTACTGCATTTTTCTCAAGTTTGCACATTTCTAAAAAGAAATAAAGTCTTACTTTATGCCCAAATTTTGAAATAATGTAAATTTCCCCCAATTAAAAATTAATCCAGGTTCACAGAATTGAAAAACAGGGCAAGTGATTTGTATATTGTGTCTATACTATTGCTAAATGGTAGGATCACTTTAATGAACAGAAATGCTCATTATCTTTTTTCAGGATTAATTTTTAATTCAAGGTCTTTAGGAAACAAATCCTTTTGGAATGCTTGCTTATAACACATACTGAGATGACATGTAGACACTCTTTCAACTAGCCAATGTTACAGCCATAAAAGGCAGTTAGGAATTAAGAATCTCTGAATTTCCATCTTTGTCCCCGACAGGAAACCTCACCTGTACCTTAGCATCAGACTTTGTATATACTTTACAAATACTTTACAATTTGTGCTAGCTGGGTCTACAAAGAACTTCTTAAAATACCAACTCCCAAATTACATATGCAGTAAATATATTTAAGAAGCAAAAAATAACTTTAAAAGCCATTTTTTTCAATGGGTACTATAAAATGTCTATTCTTTTCCACTAAATTTTATTCACATAATCTAAACAAATTTCAAGAAGCAAAATCATACTGAGCCAATTATCAATTGTTTCAGTAACACAAATTTTCACCCAGAGGATAAGCATTGTGCTTAAAAATAAAGATCTCACTAAGGGGAGAAAAAAAATAAATCATAGGTCAAAATTAACTTCATAAATCTAGAGAAGAAAATTAGTAACAGGAGAGAATTGTTTTCCACTAAAAGGGCCTTCAGAGAGAAGGGAAGTCATGAATGTACTGGTTCTAACTTGCTCAAATATAACTGACAGAAATGTCTGCAAAAGCAATGGCTATGGAGAGAGGGAAGAAGAGTAAAGGAGGGAAGTTTAAATTTTGTAATACAGCCTTGGCTGCAGAAGTCCTGATACTAAGGTAATTCAAGCAACCTTGATATTTTACAGTAGATTCCCCCTTATGTTTTGCCTTCTGTGATTGCAGTTACCTGTGGTCAACTGCAGTCAGAAAGTATCACATGGAAAATTCCAGAAATAAACAATTCATAGGTTTTAAATTACACACTGCTCTGAATAGTCTGATGAAATCTCATGCTGTTCTGGCTCCATCATGCTCCATTCCACTCAGGACATGAACCATTCCTCTGTCCAGTGGCTCCCAGCTTTGTCACTCAGTAGCCATCTAAGTTATCAGATTAACTATCTCAGTACACAGTGCTTGTGTTCAAGTAACCCTTATTTTAACTTAATAATGGCAATCAAGTGCAAGAGTAGTGATGCTAGCATATTGTTATAATTGTTCTATTAGTTATTGCTGTTCATCTCTTACTATGCCTAATTTAAAAATTCAACTTTATCATGAATATGTCTTTATAGAAAAGAACAGTATATATAGGGTTCTGTTAATATCTGTGGTTTCAGATATTTACTGGGGGTCCTGGAACTTATCCCCCATGGATAAGGGGAAACTACTGTACATACAAAAGATATCCCAAGTATTAAGCCCCGCTTTAGGGAAACAGATGGTAGACCCTATCTTTGTAAGGAGAATAAAATCCACAGCTCATAGGAAAAATCAGCCCCAAACATCAGCAGTATATTAGTTCTAATGAGCTACCAAGAAGAGTATGAGAAAATATGCTCCCTTCACCTGTGAAGTTCTACAATAGGTAAACGAAGAAAAAGTCTCTAAGTACAAATTCTCCAAAAGGGAGAATAAAATCTCTAACATTTACTATTCTACTATATTTCTCATCACCAGGAATCTATAGATTGCTCTGTAGTTAAAATAACAACTGGATGTAGTATATAAAAACAGGTAAGACCTTTACATGAAGCCTTCAAATTTCCTTAGCACTTCTATTGAAAATTTCAAAACTATATTGGCTTCACAGATTAAGATTAAAAATAATAAACTTTGATAAAAAAACAAAAGAAAACAAAAACACTCCACATACCTGGCAAATCTGATGACATGCTTGATATTGGCGTGTGGTGGAATGGTACTGAGTAGTCTGTTAATGAAGGCGGAATAGCAGCAGGATCAACCGAAGTCACACTGGGCACCCTTACAGAAGATGGCTGATACATGAGAACCCTGTTTTAAATAGCATGGGAAATTACAAACAATCTGGCTGTTAGTTCACAGGAGAGAAGAGCTGCACCACTGGGCATTCTCAGTTGTTTGTTCACTAGTTTCAGCACAACTACATGGCAGCTACTCACTACACAGCACTCCACTCTCCTCTCCTCTCCCACAAGAGTCTTCATTTTAACATGAACGTACCTTGGCTCTCAACAGCAACTGCGACATAAGAGCAAGTTGACATTCAAACACAATGTACAGTGCTGGAGTGAGATATAACACTTTCATCCACAAACAGAAACAGACATCACTTTTATTAATGTGTATGTAGTAAGTATATGGGTACCAGTGATTTTATCTTTAAAGAAATTTAAAACTAACATAGAAGATCCCTAAGGTTTGATTTAAATCAGGGAACCTTTAGAAGTGAAGCTACTTACTATAGCACAACCCAAATTTCTTCAAGTCTAACTTGAATTGTATTAATTATTTGCAATCTTTTCTGGGAATCATCTGAGCAAAATTACCCAGTCTTGCGGCCAGCCAACTTGATGGCAACAGGCCACAATCAGAAATGAGGATGAGTATTCAGGATTTAAAATATAATATCCAGAAATAAAAATGCTGGCTACCATGATACCACCTACCAGGTAGGTGAAATCCCAAGATAATTTATGATTTTAAAATTAGCTGTTCATGCTACCAAAAATACAAATTAAACATGTAATAAATACTTCACAATTGATATTATATAAAAAAATATATATACACTATAGAATTACTTTATAATTTCAAGAAGCAGTATAACTAAACATATTTTGAAAAAGTTCAAGCTTAAACAGAGATTTTTTTGCATTCTTCCTATTTAACCTGCATTTTCTCTTAGCCCAGGGTAAACAACTACAACTTCACAAGAAAGACATCCTTGAATGTATGTAGGAAACTGAGCATCATTACTGGTCTTATGGTTGATAGTAGGAACCTTGCAAACAAGGGGTAAAACATTAAGGTTAGTATCCCAAAGCACTGCCAGTCAACTACCGTAAGCTTAATGACGAAGATACAGAATTCTGTAGCTGGAAAAGACCATTATGAAGATGAAGAAAACGTCTCAAAAACTTAAAGTAGAATCATGGTCACAAAGCTAGACTGGGATAACCTCTGGGCATCCTTTCCCTTTCCTGTTATTGCTGATTATTAAATATCAGTAATAAGAAATGACAAATTGCATGACATTCTTTGTACTCTGACAAACTATTTCATAACCTCAATTTAAATGTCAAACCACTTAAATATGGACATCACTACAAACGTGGAAAACAGTCATCTTGAGGGTATATATATGGTTGAGTGGGCAACTATGTTAGTCTCAGAAAAGTGAATAAATAACACAGGTCAGAGTTCAGAAATCTTTAAAAACTGATCCATTTAGGAAGCTTATGACATATAATATTCTTGAGGCAATAACATAGCCTGGTATTTGAAAATACATTTTCCTGAGGTAGATAAAGATAGAAGGAAGTTATCTTCCAAAATTCAATCACGTGTCTGTAGGTTAGAATCTGGAGATTTCTTGGCCTCCAGTGCTATTCGAAGACCTAAAACCACAAGCAGTATGTGAGCTATGTTAGAAAAGGCAGACTCTGGAGGAAAAAGAGAAGTTGGGCGGAGATAAAATAAGTTATATCGTATCTAAAGCTCGTCTTTTTTGGAGGTTTGAAAACAGTGGTCCTTCACAGGGATCAAAGGAGAAGAACAGGACATCATCACAAGTTTTTCAAATAACATGAGACCACTTCTCACACACAAGAGTTTTTATGAGAAATTGGAGGAAGGACACAGTGGGTAAGGAGGAGAGACTGGAGTATATATGAGTGCTGGGGAGGGGACTAAAGAAGTGGCTCTGATTATTCTGGCTGTCTCAAAGTATTAATATCTTATTGTTGTTAAAATATTAACAGGCAGGCTTTTGAAGACCAAATATATATAAAGTTTCATTTAATTTAAAAACTTTCTACTTAAAAGTACATTTAGAGCCAGGCAAGGTGGTTCACACCTGTAATCTCAGGACTTTGGGAGGCCAAGGCAGGAGGATTGCTTGAGCCAGAAGTTTGAGACCAGACTAGGCAACACAGGGAGACCTTGTATCTACAAAAAATTAAAAAAAAAAAACAACAACAAAAAAAAACGTACTAAAGCATGCCTAAGGTCCTAGCTACTTGGAAGGCTGAGGCTGAGACTGCTTGAGTACAGGCGGTAGAGGCTGCAGTGAGCCATGAATGCTCCACTGCACTCTAGCCTGGACAACACAGCAAGACCCTGTCTCAAAAAAAAAGTACATTTAACCTATCATGGTTTTTTTTTTTCTCTGCCACTGAAAGAAACTAAAAGACTTCCTGGTACAAGAAAAAGACAATGAACGTTAGAAAAGAACGTTAGAAAAGGCAGACTCTGGAGGAAAAAGAGAAGTTGGGAGGAGATAAAATAAGTTATATTGTACCTAAAGCTCGTCTTTTTCGGAGGTCTGAAAACAGTGAAACATTCTCCCACTCCCCCTTCTCATCCTTTGCTATTTCACAATGGAGATTCTTTTGTTTTGATCCTGATTGACCCTTCAACTTGAAATAGACTTACATGTAACAACAATAACAGAGCTCCCTTTCCTTCTCTGACCTCTTGACTTACATCTACAGAGGAGTCAAGTGAATGTCCCTATACACCTGTTTGTCACCACAGTAACACCTAATAACTGTACGTGTCCTGTCACTTAGCAACATGAAACTTTACATGATTAAATAGCTACTCCTTACTTAGGCAATACCAAAAGGTTGACTGTCAAAACATGTGAAATGTGAAAATCCAATGGGGGTAAAAATTAGTAAATCAACATCTAAAACCTCAGCAAACATATGAAAAGCTAACAATTTAGTGTTGGTTAATTCCCATCACCTGAATGTTGCAAACATTAATACAAATTCAACTTTACATAGAATGGCTTAAAGTAGTCATTAGTTAGGATTATCAAATTACATACTGGTAGCAGGTTTTTGTTATCAGAATCTTCACAAGGACCACATTCAGAAACAAAATGATTCTAAAGCCTATGCAAAAAACAGAAATGAGTAACAGATTCCATGAAAAAATGTAAATGGCTATGGATGGTGAAATGATGGATGTAAAAATGTGATGCTATATAAAAAGATTTAAAGCTTCTAAAATTTGTTACTGCCTCTTCATAGGATTGGTAAACACACACAGATATGTGTATACATTATGCAAGTGTACATTTATATTTTAAACATTTGTAACTTTATCCATAATATCACAGCACAAAAGTGAATTGCTAGAATGCTGCTATACAGCAAATATTAGTATTTTGGATTATATGCTGGATCAGAGAATTGCATGAAACTCACATTTGGCTCAGACTTGGATGTCTGAAAATAGGTTGACAATTTTTATTTATAACCCTGAAGTTCACTGTATGCTCCCACTTTATGATCATAAAAGTATAAAAAAGATTCAATTTTGCTACCAATTCCTAATGATTATTAATCTGGAGACATACCAATTTATCCTTTTTTTGTTTCCTGTCTTTAGAATACCTTCTTATTAAGGCAAAGCAACCACTCATTTTCCAGAAGGGGCATAATATGCAAAATTATCTTTTAATATGGAAAAACATCAGAGATTTTCTAAAGGTCTTAAGATTAACATACAAGTTTCTTCTGACAGGTATTATAAGACTGCATTCAAAGACTCCAGTTGGTATGCAGAGAAAGGGAATAGGACTGCCATCAAAATAGCAATGATTCTCTCTAGGTGAGATACTTTTTGCTTTCTTCTTGGTGCTTTGTAAAATTGTTTATAAGAATAATTTTTACTAAAACAATATACCGCTTAAAAGATAGCTGCTCACAGGCAGGTGTGCTGGCTTACGCACTTTGTAATCCTAGCACTTTGGGAGGCCAAGACAAGTGGATGGCTTGAGCTCAGGAGTTCGAGACCAGGCTGGGCAACATGGTGAAACCCCATGTTTACAAAAAAGATACAAAAAAATTAGCTGGGGGTGGTAGTTCCAGCTAATTGGAGGGCTGAGGCAGGAGGATCGCTTGAACACAGGAGGTCAAGACTGCAATGAGCTGGGATCACATCACAGCAATCTAGCCTGGGTCACAAACTGAGACCCTGCCTCAAAAAAATTTAAAAAAAAAAAAAAGAAAGAAAAAGAAAGAAAAAGAAAAAATAGCTGCTCACATAATTTCGGGGCTGTGAATTAGAGTGAAGTTTTCCCGATTTCTCATTCTCTATTCTTTCTCATTTGCTTACTATCTTTGACGGCCAAAAAATCCTATGACAAACTTACACAGCATAGGAAAACCATAAAAACTCTAGATACTGAACTACAAGAAAGGATATGAAAAGGACAACCAAGAACAAAGCCACAAAGGTCTAAGAGTAGGAGGGAATCACAGAGATGATATAACCATAGCATGAGCCTCCACTATGACACTGTGACAGGCGGCAGTCACTCTAAAACACAAAATATGATTTCGGGACAAAAGATTAAATTTCCTAGTACTCAGAAAGCTCCAACAGAAAGTCTGTCCATGTATCTTTATCTTTAGTTCACTGGACCTAAATCTGGTAATAAATCACAAATTTAATCCAGCTAGTCAATGTCTCCCTTTTAAGAACTACAAGGTGGCTGTCACATAATCTCTTCTCCTGGTTTAACAGCTTCAGTCCTTAAGACCCAGTCATCCATCTTGCTCCAGATTCCACTATTCACTTTCCTGTTCCCCTGCTCTGGTCATACTTATTTGTTAATACCATTCTTAAAGATCAGCACTGACTGAAATGCTCTGAGAGTCATATAGCCTAAAATGGAACAAAACTGGCATGGTATGGGATCCTGGATACTATGCTTATTTTATTAATGCTAAGAACAAATTGGTTTTAGTGGTGAACCCTTCAAACCATTAATTGAAACCTGACATATGAAGAGTTTCTATCAGAAATGGCAATTAATTTACTGAAGGCCTTTCCAACATCTATGAAGATGACTACATAGTTGTCCTTATGACAAGATACATCTTATCAATGTATTTCCTAATATTAAAGCACTCCTAGGATAAACTACTTTGTCACATATGTCATTTTAATATATAATTAAATGATTTCCTAAGACTGAATTCAGAATTTTCATTTATCTTTCTACGTGAGTCTGTTTCTTAAGAGTTCTTCCGTGTAAGTATTAATGTGTATGTATGTCTAGCCTGGGTATTAAGGGCTACATCAGCTTCATGGAATGAACGAGGTAGCTGCACTTTATACAGACTTCTAAAATAAACTTTCAAGTGTTGCTGGTTTAGTTACAAATTTCTACCTTATACTTACCAATGTTAGTTTTTGTTTTCTTTTCAGCCTAGATGAGAAACCTTAACATTTATCTCTATAGTAGCTGACCACAGATGTAAACTATCCTTATTCCTCTGCATACTGAGGTCATTTCAGATTTTGTCACCCACTGTGTATGTGCCATCCCTCCTGTTTCATGGACTCATCAAACATAGATAAAAATGTGGTAAAGGACAGAGGGTAGACCCTTGTGGCATGCTACCAGAGACATGCTCCAAGATCACAACGACTCATGAGTCAGCATCACTAGGCATGACCTCTCAACCTGGCATGAATTCAGCCACCTACAGTACTTGCAACTCATGTTTTTCCACTATATTCTAAAGGATATCATTACAGAGTAAAATCCAGAAACATCACATCTAAGCATTCATTCCCCTGATACTCCACCCCAGTAACCATTTCAAAATTATATCTTCATTTTTTGTGTATTATTTAAATTAAGATGTACCAGTCAATTTGTCTCAAAGGAGCAATAAATGATTGGCACAACAGGAAAAAATCGACTCGAAACACTTCCTCATTTTGTTCCACACACACAAAAACCCCACCTCATTCTAATTAAATAGGTAGAAGTAAATATATGCCCTTAATATATGTGTAAATTATATTTGGAAATATTAAGTATTTTAACAGTAAAGAAGGCAGCTGAAAAGGTTTAATTCTTAAAATTATAAAAATAAACAATGTTGCAAAAGGAGGTATTTTATATAAAATGTCTAGAACAGGCATTACAGAGACAAAAAAATGACTGCCTAGATTTGGGGTGTAACTAGAAATAAACTACAAAAGAACATGAAGAAAGTTTTTTTGGGTGTTGAAAATATTCTACTACTGAATCATGGTGATGATTGCACAGCTCTATGTATTTTCTAAAATATCGCTGAATTGTGCAGTTACATACTTAAGATGGGTACATTTTATGCTATGTAAATTATACCTCAGTAAAGCTGTTAGAAAACAAAGTGGACCAAGAGGCCAAAAAGATGACACTAGCACTCCCAAGTCTGAAAGAATGTGTTCGTGAACTGTCAGGAGAACTCTCCTGTTATCTCCTTGTATGATCCAAAACCTCTCTGAAAAAGCAACTATTGCTAAATACCCAAACCTGATTTTAAATGCAGGCCAGTAATGGCTTCTGCCAGATAACTTATAGAGAATCCATGCTAAAATTCAGGTAGAATGCCATCTTACCCATCCATAGCTTGCCCTGGAGAGGTTGAGACGGGAAAGAAATCAATTTTTATTGAGAAATTACCACATGCCTGACACTGAGGCTTTCTTTCATCTCATTAAAACCTGAAAATAATCCTGTAATATAGGCATCATTTAGCTCCATTTAACAGAACACAAAAAAGAGGCTCAATCAAATTAAGTATTTCATCTAAGATCACAGAACAAGTAAGCGATGGTGTGCCATAATTGGAATCCATACTTGTCAGATTCCCAGTTCCACACCCCATTACACCAGACTTTCTCATTTGGTCTGAGATGCCAAATTTCCTTACAAACAGGTTCAAGAAAATAACAAAAAGTCTCAGGTAGGAAATAAATACCTCACACGCTCACTTTCCAAAGACGTAAATATTTTCTCCATCAAAATGTGCTTCCTACAAACAATGTGCTTACTTGAAAATGTTCCAACTCAACAAAGGCAAATTAAAATAGCCTTCTACAGTTACACCATTTCCCAAAGAGACATTTATAAATCTACCCCAAGAGCAAATTAGTTGCGAGTGTAATGAACAATAGTGAACTATAAATTAACAAACCCTTTGGTTGGGCTGCTTTGTGTTTCTGACATAAAGATGCATTTCCTTTTGGCAGGAGGGTCTTCTTCTTCATCAGAAGAGCTTTCTATTGTAAGATCAATAACATCTACTTTCTTCTTGCTTGCCTCACTGGCTACAGTCACTGAACAAGGCTTACTGAGGACGCTTGAACCTGCACGTAAGGAAACAAAAGGAAAAAAAAAAATCAAAGGTATAACACAAATAAACTCTAGTGGTAGAGTCTAGTATATTCAGTATAGTATATTCCTGACAACACATAGCGCCAGTGGAGCCACCTACTCCAACCCACGGACAGGTACCAACTCCCTAACTCCAGACCTCTGTCTGTAAAATGGTTGTTCACCTAGGGAGACAGGTGAGCACTATTCCTTGACAGAAGGTCAGAAGTCTCAAACTCTCATTCAGACAGAACGTTCTTAGTTATGCCTCCAATACCACTGAAGGATTTGTGCAGCTCCTAATGCTCATCCTGTCTCTGCAGGTCAGCAGTCGTTTTACAGAAAGACACGGAGAGTTAGGGAACTGGTCTCAGGCCATGGGACAAAAATAGGTGAGTTCACCAGCTATGTATTCTCACAGACATGTTGCATAGTTAGCTCAGAACCAGATATTTCCATTCTAGCAATCATGCTCATATCAAAGAAAGTACAAACTTTTCACCATAAGCCAGAACTGATAAAAACTTTCACCTTGATAAGTTGAAAAAACCCAAACCTCTCACTTAAGTTACTCACACATTTAAACTTTTCTTATGAATTATCTACGAATACATAGGTCCATAGACTACCCACAAAGATAGTCTCACATACCATATATGTTAACTCAACATTTTCATAGAAAAGTATATTATCTGAATGTATTTAGTTAAAAATGAAAGACAGTTGATAATGGAAAAGCAATAGAAATTTATCAACTAAATCACTCCCCATTTTTCTCAAAGATGACAGAAACCTTGGTCACTGCACTCAGGTTCAGTATCAATCACAGAGGAATAATTAATAATGGCATAAATTCTTTTTTTCCCCTTTCTTCTTACTCCATTCATTACACTGTTTGTTAGAACTTCAAATGTAATCAGAACAAAACTGAAATGCAGTGAATAGACTTAGATAAAAAGAAACTCTAAGTTCCCTTGTGGGTTTCAATTACTCAAAATGCCCTCAGTTTCCCTACTTAGTGTGGAAAGATGCAGGCAGTTGATGGATAAGTACACATTCTAGGTAATCAAGGCAATGTTAATATTCCTCCCCACAAAGAAATGGAAGGAAACAATTTGTTTACTTTCTGAGCAATTAACCTGTGACCATCCCCAAACCAACAAGGCCATTAATCAATGATGCAGCCCTCTAACCTCACCTCCACTCAGGGTTCCACCTACAGATACCCTAAAAACAATTCTGAAAAACTGTCCACATAAATTCATTCGTGACTTTTCGTTTTGTAACAAACATCGTATTTTAAAATGATTTTAGATGAATGTTTCCTTTATTCTACATACGAAAAATATACTTTGAAATAGCTGATAAGATAGTATAAACTTCAGCACATTTCTTCAGGAAAGAATAAAAATCATTTGGGGGAAATTACATATAATCAAAAGATTGAGTCAACAAGCTGAATTCCAAACGTATAGTTCTAGGGGCCAAGATTAATGATAATGTTACATGAGTCTCACTGCTTTGCTCTCTGCTGCTGTTCTACACATACTTTCTATTTTTGTACACGGTTGGCTGGATACTTTCATAGCTTCTTTCTTCGGTCTCATTGGACACCAAGAACCATCTTCCTGGAATTTGATCTCATCCACATCAGAACAGTCATTGAGAATTTCCATAAAAAGCCTAAAAACAATTAAGAAGTACATACATGTAATCAACAGCTTTGCCTAAAGGGGAAATAAGAAAGTAACACACATTACCTTGAAAACATAAGTAATGCTAGCTGACCCCCTTTTCTTTTGGTATTGCAATACTTTTATACTTTACAACAATTATTACACCCCCTTTGTCCTGTTTTAAATCTGTAACAGGCGACATAATAGTTAAGTAACTTACTGAGCATCACCTGTGTAACTCAGTGAGTATCAACGGCTAGAGATTAGTAGATACCTGCAGCCTCCTAGCTGAGGCTGGCAGTAAGAACAGCCTCTAACACAGCACGCAAAACAAACACAAGCAGACAAAGGTTACTATATAGTAAAATAATTTATAAACTTTAACTTTGAGAAAAAAGGATAATGGGGTAGGGGAAGGAGGGAAGAATAGGTAAATAAAAGAAGTCTCAATAAATTTAAAATAAGCAAAGCGTATCTGAATTATGTTCAAATTAAGTCAGTACCAGAAAAATTTGAAAAATTCATAAATATTTGGAAACTAAAGAAACATGAGTCAAAGACAAAAATAAGATTTTGAACTGAATGAAAATAAAAATGTAATAAAATTTGTGGACTGTAGCTAAAGTAGTATTTAAAGTAAATAATCTTCCCCAATTAGAAAATAGTCTCAAATCAGTAACTTTATGAAACTAGAAAAAAAAGCAAATTATAGTAAAAGCAAGAAAAAGAGAAATAAAGAAAAAAACAACCAAATAGATAAAAAGAAAACCAGAAAAATCAGCTTCTAGTCAAACTTATTTACACTCACTCCAAAAGAAACAGATAACCTAAGAAGCCCTATGCCTGAAGTTGGATCTGTAGTTAAAAACTTCACCAAAAAAAATATATATATATATATCCCAGGCCCAAAGTCTTCTCTAGGGAATTCTACCAAATATTTGAGGAGAAATAATACCACTACTTCCAACTCATTGTACAAGGTCAGCATTACTCTGATAATAAAACCAGGTAGGCACTGGAACAAAACTAAATACCAACATCCCCCATGAACTTTGCAAAACAAATCCAACAACGAATACACACAGGATAACAAATCATGACCAAATGGGGTTCACTCCCACAATACAAGATTAGTTTAATATCCACAAGTCAATCAACATAATGCACCATATTACCAGACTAGTCAATGCAAGGTGGCAGGAAAACAAAAGGCAGCCACGTTAGAAAGAAGTAAAACTGTCTTTATTTAAAAAACATTACTGACTATATAGAAAATCCTATGTAATCTATAATAAAGCCACTAGAACTACTAAGGGATGGGAATAACATATCTTGATATGAAAGCAATATACAAAGGTCAACTATATTTCTATATATTAGCCATAATCACAAAAAATTTTCACATACCACAGAAATATGAAATATTTAGGAATAAACTTGACAGGAGATGTACAAGACACATTGAAAACTGTAAAACACTGCTGAGACAAATAAATAGAAAGATACATCCTGTTCATAAATCAGAAGACTCAATATTGTTATGTCACCACAGACTTATCTACAGAGTCAATAAAAAACAAATCAAAATCCCAGCAGGTTTTTTTCCCTAGTTGACAAGCTGATTCCAAAATTTGTATGAAAATGCAAAGAATCTACAATAGCCAAGACAACTTTGAAAAAGAACAAAGTTGGAAGATTCACACTACCTGACTTTCAGCGAATGCAGTATTGACACAACTACAGACAAATAAATCAATACAACAGTCCGGAGATCCACACATATAGTCAATTAATTTTTGTAAAAAGTGCAAAAGCAATTCAATGAGGAAAAACTAATCTTAACAAATGATGGTGCACCAATCACATGGCCATATACCAAACAAAAACAAAAATCCTGTTATCTTACACCATACATAAAAATTAACTTGATAGAAATAATAAACCTAAGTGTAAAAGTAAATTATGAAACTCCTACAGGAAGCTCAGAAAAAATATTTGTGACCTTGAGTTAGGGGAAATGTCTTAAAGTAATACCAAAAGCACAATCTTTCATAAAAGAAAAACTTGGTAAACTAGCTTTCATTCAAATTAGACACTTCTGCTATTTGAAACACACTGTTAAAAGACTGAAAAGATAAAATGACAGAAAACATTTAAAAAATCATACACCTGGTAAGACGTTTGTATCCAGAATACATAAAGAACCACCAACATTCAATAATATGAAAACAAAACCCAATTAAAAAGTGGGCAATAGGCCGGGGCACGGTGGCTCACGCCTGTAATCCCAGCACTTTGGGAGGCCGAGGCGGGCGGATCACGAGGTCAGGAGATCGAGACCACCCCGGCTAACATGGTGAAACCCCGTCTCTACTAAAAATACAAAAAACTAGCCGGGTGTGGTGGCGGGCACCTGTAGTCCCAGCTATTCGGGAGGCTGAGGCAGGAGAATGGCGTGAACCCAGGAGGCGGAGCTAGCAGTGAGCCGAGATCGCTACACTGCACTCCAGCCTGGGCGACAGAGCGAGACTCCGCGCTCACTCCCCCACTCCAAAAAAGAGAAACCATACCAAATGTTAATGAGAATGAGGAGCAATCAAAACTCTCCATATACTGCTGGTGGAAATATAAAATAGTACAACTGCTTTTGGAAAACAGTTTGACAGTTTCTTGCAGTTAAGCACACACCAGGCATGTGCCCAGGCATTCCACTCCTAAGTATTTACCCAAGATAAATGAAAACAGTCCACACAAAGACTTGGGCATGAATGTTCACAGTAGCTGTATTTCCAACAGCCCAAAACCAGAACAAACCCATCAACGCATGAACTGACAAACTGTGGGTGAGAATGCAACTCAGCAATTAAAATGAAATATTGGTATATGCAACATAAATGTATCTCAAACAAGTATGTTGAGTAAAAGAAGTTAGACAAAGGAAGCACACAGTTTACGATTCCATTCACATAAAAGTCTAGAAAATTCAAACTAATCTATAGAAACAGAAAGCATATCAGTGTTTGCTTGAGGACTGAGAGGGAGAGATTGAAAACATACATGAGAAAACTTTGGGTGTGATGGGTGTGTTCATTATCTTGACTGGGATAATGATTTCACAGGTATATAAGAGGTCAAAATTTATCAAATTGTACATTGTACATGAGTAGTTCTTATGCCAAAAATGCCTACTTCATGAGAAGAGGTTTATTTTTCTCAACTATACTGAAAACTCAGCATAATGTAAATGAAAACCCAAAAAGGTTCTGTGTAATTTCAGAATGCTTTTATTCAAGTGAATATCGCAGAATGTACTGTGACACTAGTCAAAAAAATTCTGAAAAGAAACGGCCTAAGAAATACTACCACATAATAGAAATCTAATAAAAATAGTTTCGTACTGGCCTACTAATACTTTGATGAATGGAACAAATAGAAGTTCAGAAGTTAACACTAGTATTTACAAGAAATGTATTAGATAATGCAAGTAGTGTCTCAGATCTGTGGGAGAGATTATTCAAGTAAATGTGGTTGAGAATAATCTGGGTGCTAGGGTGAGGTGATCCCTACCTTAATGGGATCACCTATTCCCTACTGTAAAGTTCATTCCCCATCCCCAGTTTTCCTCCCATAGTGTCATTCCTTATCTTCATAGCACTTTACACTTCATATGCTTTCTATTTTACTGTCTCCCATACTAAAAGAGCTCTGCTCATCATTTTTAGACCTAGTGTCTGACACATGATAGGTATTTAGTAAGTCCTGTGTTGAATGAATTCATGAAGCAATGTATGATGGAACAACTGCACAACTGGAAAAAGGAATCATAAATGTGTCTGATGAAAACAAGCAAATGCTCATATAAAATCTCTACAACTTTCTAAACATTTTCAAGACAGAAGTTCAAAACGGAAAAGACAAGACTTGATGAAAAAAAATGTAAAGCTTCTGAATGGAAAACAAAGGTCACAATAAATACAAATAAAAGGCAAACTGGGAAAACACATTTGGCACATGCGGACAGAGAAATTAATATCCTCAATCTATAATGACTATTTATAGACCAGTAAGAAAAAGATGCGCAAGCCCATAGCAAAATCTTTTTTAAAAAAGGAACATTAAGAGGCAATTTGTAAAAGATATTACAATTACCAATATATGGAATTAAAGAAATATCTGATAACTCTTATAATAAAAAAATTAAAAGTCAAAATGATTAGCTATCTTTTAAATTAGGAAACTGGTAGACATTTTTATTTGTTGTTCTGTTTTGTTTTGTTTACTTCTGAAACAGAGTCTTGCTCTGTCACCCAGGCTGGAGTGCAATGGCATGACCATTGCTCACTGCAGCCTCAAACTCCTGGCCTCAGACAATCGTCCTGCCTTGGCCTTCCAAAATGCTGGGATGACACGTGTGAGCCACCACACCCAAGAGTAGACATTTTTAAAGTAAGATTTAATATGTAAGGCTGCTAAGAGAGCTGAGAAGTGGACAGTGTTATGCCTGTTGGCATGAGAGTGAAATGATTTACTAGGAGAGAAAAACAGCTTACTCCTCCTGGGAGGCATCTTGATAATAAATACTAAAAGTCTTAAAGTTATACATTCCCTTTGAGTATTTCTAAGAACTTGAAGAAAACTCCACAGACATATACAAAATGCCACCTTCAAAAATGTTAACATCACAGGGCAATTTTAAATTGAAAAAGTAGAAACAAATATGGAATATTGAGAATTTAGCAAACACGTCACAAAATATTAATGTGCAAGGAAGCATGACATATGTAACTCTCAAATGGTTCAAAAGAATTCTAAAAATAGTAATAATCATCTCTCTCTACATTCGCAAATGCATACACCAAAAATGTGTATATGCACACATATTAAGGGAGAAAGTGATACAACAACTGCAGTAGATTGTTAACAACTGAAGCTTCTGGGTCAAGGTTACATGGGAGGTTCTTTGTGCTACTATTCCAACACATCTGTAGGGTTGAAATTTTTTCAAAATAAGCTAAAAATAAAAATTCAGCAAACAAAAACGTTCAGAAAGGAATGTTAAAGTCCCATTCACTCTTCATTCCCCATTCCTCTCCACAGATAATACTCTTGTAAAACTTTTGTTGTTCATTTTAGAGATGCAACTCACTATGTTGCCCAGGCTCACCTTGAACTCCTGGGCTCAAGTGATCCTCCCACCTCACTTTCCTGTGTAGCTGGAACTACAGGCATGTACCACTCTGCCTGGCTTAAAACATTTTCAAGTTGCACAAGTATCTTTAAAAATCTAGGATACTTTTCACTATATATTGAGTAAAAATCACATGTATATATTAATATAAATCATGACATAAAGTATCATTTCAGTCTTTTTTAATATGTCAATAACAAAGTCATCACCATAGGATGGTCCTGCTAATTTTATTTTCATCTTTCCATTAACTGTATTTTCTAAATCTTACATGGTATATGGATGACATGTGCAATTTTAAAAAAAGTATTATTTGAAAAAAGGTACTAAAAATTAGTTCATGCCATTTTCCAAATTCTGACATGCAATATAATATGAGAGATGATGCTTAGAGTTTGAACTCCAGAGTCAGAAATACCTGGGTATGAATTCCAGTTTTGAACTTAAGAGCTATATAATGTGTCTGTATTTACCCTATCACTTCCTCTGGTTTTTTGCATAGACCCTAACTGCTACTTCAAGAAATTCTAGGTAAGGAAAATGACATCACAAAGCAAACTTTTCCCTATTTCCTGTAGGTTTTATAAAATATAATCTTGGAAAGCAAAAACATTGCCCTCAACACAAATCATATTATAGAGATAAAAATGCCACTAACCAGCCGGGCGCGGTGGCTCAGGCCTGCAATCCCAGCACTTTAGGAGGCTGAGGCGGGTGGATCATGAGGTCAGGAGATCGAGACCACGGTGAAACCCCGTCTCTACTAAAAATACAAAACTTAGCCGGGTGCGGTGGTGGGCGCCTGTAGTCCCAGCTACTTGGGAGGCTGAGGCAGTAGAATGGCATGAACCTGGGAGGCGGAGCTTGCAGTGAGCCGAGATCAAGCCATGGCACTTCAGCCTGGGCGACAGAGACTCTGTCTCAAAAAAAAAAAAAAAAAGCCACTAACCACAGTATAAAAAATAAGATTGAGTGTAATTATGTATAAGACAGAAAACATACAAACATCTGGATTTATGCTAGAGTAGAATTTATTTAGAATTTAGTTCAGTAAGCTGTACTGAACAAAGACATTGCCAACAGCTGTTGTATTAGTCCATATCAGCTGTTAAAAGGGATATACTTACCCATCTAATATTAGACTTTCATAGGCAGCTTTTTTGTCACACACAGGACAAATCCAGGTGGGCTTCTTCTCATTCATTTGTAGATAAAGGGCAGCATCAAAACACTGCAGATGTGTACAAGTCACTGCACGGCATGGGATTGTCAGTCTCATTTTTCCTAACTACAGGACAGGAAACACAAGGAAAACTAGTTCAGAAAGGAGAAGGAGCTCAGAGGGAACGTGGTCAGTTGTAAAAGTCTGAAGATGTCATACAAGAAGATGACAAAAATGAAAAAGAAATCCAAACTAGAATGTATTCCCAGGGAGATTAGAATATATTTTTATTCACTGATTGCCCTATGATTTTTGAAAAACCATTTCTCTTTTTCAAAACAGGTAACATGTAAATCCAGATTCATATACGTTGAAAATATGACTCCTCCTTACCTGGTCCCCAGTTTCCCTATTTAGAGAACCACTGTTATCCATCTCTTGCATGTCCTTTCATAGATGTTCTAAGCATAAATCAAGTGTGTATTTAAAGTATTTTCCCAGGAATTATAGGATACAATACACACTGTTTTCCAACTCACTTCTATCATATAACTTGGTGACTACTGCACACAAATTGGTATATAAAAAACTACCATTATATGAAGGTATCATAATTTATTTAACCAGTACACTAATGACTGACATTTAAATTGTTTCCAATCTTTTATCACTACAATGCTGTAATGAGTATTTCTAAGATTCCTATATTTATAATATTTATAATTTCTAGAAGTGAAACTTCTGGGTGGAAAGAAAAGGACATTTGTAATTTTTGTCACATTAACACACTATCTTCCACAAAAAGTACCTACTGGGTTATGTATACAAGTGTATTAACGTGCTTTGTTCCACTCAACCTTTCCAATATAGTGTTATTAAATTCTTTGATCTCTGCCAATCTGGAAGGTGACAAATATCCCATTATAGTTGTGAACTACATTTCTCTTATTATTGGTAGTTGAGCCTCTTCTTTTACTTCTAAGAGTCATTTGTGTTTCTAAGAACTTTCTACCTATAACCTTTTCTCATTTCCCATCTGGTTATTAATCTTTTTCTATTTGTAGGCACTCTTTATATAAGAAATCAGCCATGTGTGTAATATGAACTGCAAATATATTTTTCATTTATGAAAATTTATTTTTATATAATCAACTGTGTTAATTTTTCAATATACTTTTGATTAACTCTAGTGCTGTTAAATTCGTATTGCAACTAGTAGTGGTCCATCGGCACCAAGACGTATACAACACCCAGATTTGGTCAGACCAGGTTTTCCTACATAATCCTTCAAACCTCCCCACATATTTCCCTTACAGAAAATATCACTATTTATAACCAGTCCTGCTATTTTGATTGAAAATCTGTTTCTCCCACTAGATCTTAAGCTCCAAAAAGATGGTCTAGATCTCTGCTTACCACTGAATCCCACTGTCCTAGCACAATACTAGCTCATAGTATGTGCTCAGTATTTGTTGACCAGATAGGAGAATGAATGGAGATGGACCAGAAATGGGGAAAAGAACAAACAGGAAACGAAGAAGATGGACCTCCTTTTATGCTATAAAGTTTGAAAGAATTCATGGCAAAATTAAAACATTCTTAGTTCTGCCTGAGAGGCAGGCTTTTTAGGATGTTCTTTTTCTTTTGGTTCATCTGTAATTTCTAATTCCTCTAAAATGAACACTTGGTAATGTGGTAATTTAAAAAGAAAATAATTTAGCTGAATCATCAACACAGAAGTAACATTTATATAGTTCCACCTACGTGCAAGGTACAGTGTTGACTACTTCACATTAATCTCAAAAACACTTTTACAATTACATAACAATTATACTAAAAGGATGGTATCATTATCATCCCCATTTTATAAATAAGGAAACTAAGGTACAAAGAAGCTAAGTAACCTAACACTACAAAGTTAGAAAATGGCAGAGCAGGTCTGATCTGGGAAGCTCCAGCCCTGCAGAGTCCACACTCTCATCACTGCTATACTGTCTCTACCTAAGTGTCTAACCAGAGTTCTAAAAGGGATCTTCGAAATTTCTGTGATTTGATCAAGGTATGTGGCACAATATAACTCATCACTTAGAACAGAAAAAGGTCGGAATAAAACCTGAGGCAGTTTCTCTTCTTATCATACATCTTTCTATATTTTTCCTGCCTTTAAAAACAAATTATTTCTTAAACAGACTCTTACAGTATGCCCAAGGCTTTTATATAAATCTCATAAAATCTTCATAACTCTATGACTCCAGAAAAGCTGGTATCTATATTTCTATTTCTGAAATGAAGATGCTGAAGCTACAAAAGGTTAAAACCACACACTCACTGATATAGCTGATAGAGCTATATCACAAATGGTCCTCACATTCCAGAGACATCCCAGTTTTATAACATTACAAATGGTGTTAGTTTTTTAATTTAATTACCCTCCTTTTCCTCTTTTGCTAAGTTTTTGTTCTATTAAAAATGAATGTTGACTAAATACCTATTCAGCACCCAATGAGATAACAGGTTTTTTAAATCCTTTCAATGATAAGATGAATAATTTTAATAGATTTTCCTATTATCCTTTTTTTAAATCACATGTTATTCTTTTTAAATAGTACCAACATAAACATTGGCTGGTTATTTAGAAAGTTTCCACCAATGTAAGTGAGTTGGCTTTTTTGCACAATCACTGTGTGGAAACAACTCAATCACTGAACTCGTTATTAAATTACACTATGCCTATTCAACAAAATGCCCACAATGATTAAAATAAGACCAATCTACACATATTAATATACTTAAGATACACTGTTAATTAAAAAACAGCAAGCCATAGGACAGTATATATTTTCCAATAAACATACATATAATTATATAGAGAATTACATCTTGAAAAATCTATCATGCTACTAGTAATGTTACTTCTGAATAATAGACCTTGCAAATTTAAAATTATCATTTTTACTTTTCGGCTCTATTTGAATAATTTAAAAGTAGGTATTATTTGTCAATTTTTATAATTTTTTCTTTAAAATAACGTTCTAACTCAGCCTACCACGGTTTTAACAGTTATCTGTTCTCATTTGGTTTCAAAACCCCTTTGGACTCCTAAAAATTAAGACCTTGGCCAGGCACAGTGGCTCACCCCTGTAATCCTAGCACTGTGGTAGGCCGAAGTGGGTGGATCACCTGAGGTCAGGAGCTCGAGACCAGCCCAGTCAACATGGTGAAACTCAATCTTTACCAAAAATACAAAAATTAGCTGGGCGTGGTGGTGGGCCCCTGTAATCCCAGCTACTTGGGAGACTGAGGCAGGAGAATTGCTTGAACCTGGGAGGCAGACGTTGCAGTAAGCCGAGATCACGCCACTGCACTCCAGCCTGGGCGACAAGAGCGAAACTCTGTCTCAAAAAAAAAAAACAAAAAAGGCCGGGCGCAGGCGTTCACGCCTGTAATTCCAGCATTTTGGGAAGCCGAAGAGGGTGGATCACGAGGTCAAAAGTTTGAGACCAGCCTGGCCAACATGGTGAAACCCCGTCTCTACTAACAATACAAAAATTAGCCAAGCATGGTGGCAGGCGCCTGTAATCTCAGCTACCTGGGAGGCTGAGGCAGGAGAACTGCTTAAACCCGGGAGGTGGAAGTTGCAGTGAGCTGAGATGGTGCTACTGCACTTCAGCCTGGGCGACAGAGCAAGACTCCGTCTCAAAAAAAAAAAAAAGAAAAAAAAGAGAAAGAAAAAAAAAATGAAGACATCAAAGACGCTTTATGTATGTGGGCTATAGTTATCAATATCTGTATATTAGAAATTAAAACATATTTTTAAAAGACAAGAGTACACAAGTACACATTCCATTAGCCATCAGAGCAACGACATCATCATCATCTATCAGGTAACCCACATTAAACATCACTTTATGCTCATAAGAGAGAAAGAACACAAAAAGCCAAAATTATGTGTCAATATTATTATAAAAAGTTTTAATTTTGTAGTCCTCTTCAAAGAGTGTCAGGGACCTTCAGGTATCCATGGGCCACATTTTGCAAATCGCTGCTTAGGGACTGTTTTTGTCGTTTTCTTCTGTGCCGTTTCCATCTCTCCTGTCACAGCCTTAAAATTTCCACAGCATACAGAAATGAGAATATCCAGGACTATAAAAGTTGTTGACCCTAAATTTAATCCTACTCTAGTTGTCTTATAAGAACTAATGAGCATTTCCTAAGAAGGCATTTGTTACTAGCTAGCAAAATTTTGTCAATTTCCTAGTGACTATGGAATGTTATTAAAAAGGACCTGAATGTGCCATCAAAATAAATTCTAATTCTAATTTAACCAGATGAAGGTGCTTTTTTGAAATTTATTATTTTTATGAATGAAGTGGTATCTAAGTAATGCAACACTTTTTTCCTATAAAATGTTAAGCTGGCATTATCCAAATTCTATTCACTGTAGCGTAATTACTACCAATCTAAAGTAAGAGAGTTTTCAAGTTGAAAAGGCCCAAACTGGTGGTTTCCAACTATTTTCAGCAGGACTTTTTTTTTTTTTAAACATATTAGAATTTCAAGAGATAAAATCAAACCTAGCTTGCTTTCTTTTTCTTTCTCAGCTACTCAGCCCACCTCCACAGGACAGACAGAAAATCACTAGCTGAAATCACCAAAGTGAAACTCCTATGTAAAATTCAGATATTGTGTTCAGAAATATAATTATGCACACTCAATTAGATCCTCTTCAATAACTACTGTGACATTACCTTCCTTTAGTCCCAAGGACAGAGGTTTTAGAATTCGCTCCCACTATTCAGGACTCACTTCTACTGCAAATCACCTTACGAAAATATTGTGAAATGTAATAAACATTTATTCTATAACCCTACATTATTATTTTCTCTTGTTTTTGCCAAAAAACCCAGGGTTCACTTCTTATCCAAGTGCCTGGGGTTTATTTTTTTCCTTCTCCATTTCCCATTACTGCACCAGATCCCATGTTATCTCCATTGTTAGCCAGCTGGACTCCATTCTGCTTTTTCCAACTAATAATAGGACTGACTTTCTCAAACACTGCTTTCATCATCTAACTTCTGTCATCCATCCACCAAATCTAATCAACACACTTGTGTCTGGTAGTCTAATTAATATATACCACATATTACAGTTTAGCTACTCAACTTTATGTTAACACTACTACTATAGCCCAAAGAGTACCATTTATTCTTTTCTTAGAAAGTGCTCTGAAAAGATCAACGAACCCCGAGGAAAAGCTCAAAAGACAGTCTCACAAATAGACCTGTTGTCACTTCTGAGCAGAGAGAAAAAAACACTTAAGAAACTTAAAACAAGATTTCAAAAACCTATTTGATCTGTTACTTCATTTCTTCAAGTAACTGAAAAGTTAATTTTCTTAAAATTGGTAATGTTTGAAAGGAACTGCTCTCTATTCTTACACAGAAGGAATCCTAACCTCTCTGATATGCTGCTTTCACTATTATTGAAAGTTTGGCTCATGAGATGGCCTATGCCTGTAATCCCAGCACTTTGGGAGGTCATGGTGGGCAGATCACTTGAGGTCAGGAGTTTGAGACCAGCCTGAGCAACATGGTGAAAGATCTCTACAAAAGACACCAAAATTAGCCAGGTGTGGTGGTATGTGGCGGTAGTCCCTGGTACTCAGGAGGATGAGATGGGAAGATCACTTGAACCCAGGAGGTCAAAGCTGCAGTGAGCCGTGATCATGCCACTATGTTCCAGCATGGGTGACAGAGAGAGATCCTGTGTCAAAAAAATTTAAAAAGTCTGAGAATCCGTTAGTATGTTTAGCCATTGCATTTGGTTTTGGTTGCTCTCATGTAGAATGGCAGTCTGTATGAAAAAAAAAAAAATTAAAAGATTCTAAGAAAATGGCACTGCATAACTGTAAAACTCCTTAGGTAAGTTGTGTAGAAGACTTTCTTCCTGATACAATAGTTTGACATCTAAAACATAATGGTGACATGAGTTTCCTCCCCATATGGTGACTGTATGTGGAATACAGCTGGCAATTACTGTTTACTGAATATACTAGGGTTACATAATAAAAAAGGGTCAATATCCAACCATTTTTTAACCAACAAAAAGGTAATTTCACTTCTTTCAATCTACTATTAATTTTAATTTTAACATGAGAGCGTAGAAAAAGAGAATAACCTGAAGACACTGAAAAGAACTCAAGCCTGAAGGTTTGCATAGAACTTGCGCTCAGAGGAAGTCGTGGGTCCTTCCGCATGCCTCCTAGAGCCTCTGTCACCACCTTCAGGGCTTTCAGGTCCTACCCTACTGGAACTGCACACCTCTTCCCTGCGTTTGACAAGAGCACATTCCCAGTATCCAAGCAATCCTGATATCAAAAAATTCTATTTCAATGAAGGCAAGCTCATATGTTTAAGTTAATGAAGATTAAAAGAGTGATGCTTCAAAAAAAGATTTGCAAATACCACTTTCCAGAATAAAAGAGACGTACTTGCAATCAGGACATGTATATTTTAGCCCAATCTGGCAGCATGGTATATTGGAAAGAGAACAGGAATGTCAGAACACAATCTTTATCCTTGTTCTACCACTAACTGTAATTTGGGTTAGCCAACCTCGTTCAGTCTCAGTTTCTTCATCTACAAAATGAAGACAACTCCTCCACACAGGTTTGCTAAGATAGTTAAATAAAGAACATACAGTAGAAACTCAACAAATTATTCTCTTTTCTTTCTGACACAATTTCTCCCCATTTAAAAAACTGTACATTTCTCAAAATGGTGGGCAGTCATCAAACGCCCACAAAATTACATTATAAATTCCTGATTCCATGACTTTTCTCACCAAGTTCTTCTTAACTGGAAAGGGTTCCCCTCTAATTCATTCAATGTTCCTGATCCTCCCATCTCCTCTTGGTAGTATAACAGCCTAACTGTAAGTGAAGTCTGCTCCATTTTTATGGGAGTTGGTTTTATTTTTCAAACTCAATTGTTAACATTCTAAGCAAGCCTCAATATTTTCTCCCACAATTAGCTCAGTGGCAAGTAAACAGGACGATGTGAGAGTTGCTAACTGATTTCTCCCTCATACTTTCTATGTAAGGAGATATAAAAGAAAAATTATTGTGCAATTTAAAAGACCATTATAAAGACATCCTACGCATCCTAACTCACTAAACCAAGAGCATCAATTAGCATTTATCAGGCCCCAGTCACTTTATTTTTCAGTATCATTTATATTCTTATAAAAGGCGTCAGCTCTTAAAATATTTTTATTTATAGCTGTGTATTATCTACAACATTAATTACAACAGATTATTCTAAGCCTAAAGCTATCTTCCCTCTTCTTTGTATTCTTTGCATGCCCAAATAATACAAAGCATTGTGACTTAATCATGAAGATTCCTTAATGGGAAAAGACAAAAGTTCAGAATTCTATCATAATATATCATTCATTCCCACACTTATTTTTATAGGAAAGTTAATCATTTATAAAAAGTCAAATTCCCTAGAATGTTTTGTTGCTTTACTTACAGGGCACATCAAGGATACCCGAAGGCTAGTTGTAGCAATTTCACTATCAGGATCTGCAGTAAGTTTTTCTTTAACTTTAAAGAGAAGAGAAAAAAAATAAAATTAAAAAAAATTAAGGGTGACAAAGAAATGGAATTATAGAAATATATAGCATCTTAAAACAAAATGTTAAATATTAATGTATTGAAAACACAATCACACTCCCAATGTAAGTTAAATAATTATGAACATGCAAATTCTTTGTTTAAATTCTTAAAATTTCTTTTTAAAAGTAAAACTGCTGGTAAGCAAGACTTTCAAAATAGAAAGCTGTGTAAGACTTAAGAACAAAACAACAATTAGGAGAGGAAGCTGGAATGCAGCAGTACCCTGAGCTTCAAAGCTTTTCCAACACACATTCATCACAGTTTTTATTATGCACTATTGTTTGTTTCCAACAATTACTAAATTTGTAAACAGAAAATATAAAAATATTCTTATACTTCCTTTGATAATTAAAAACTACTATGTGGTAATATCTACAATTTTACTCACCAGTAATGTATATAAATTAGTATATACACAAGCTAACAAATATATAATCTATTGATGTGAGCAATATTTAAAGCATTAAAGCATCTCATATGCTCAATCTTTTTTTTTTTTTTTTAAATGCTTGGTCTTATAAACATTACTTACTTAGTGCTCTGGAATGATCAGGGTTTCTAATACCTTTCATTTTTAATCTCTGTAATAACATGGCTGATGTAAGCTGCCGTACAAGATATACAGACATGGAGTAATTCTACAAACAAACAAAAAAAAAACCCTGCATTAAAGATGAGAGATAATATTCTCTTTGTTTACATGAAATACTTATTTAAGAAACTCTGGCTTCTAAAAATAACATTCAAAATAACTTCTATGGAATGGTCAATGACTGCAAAGGGGACAAAATTCACCAAGCTATTTCAGCGAAAATAAAAGCTCAATCATTTAAAACTATTTCTTGATCATTTATCACTTTAAAACATTCGCTGCTATAGGAACATAGGTTGGGTCAATGGTTTCCAAACTATGGTTCTTACTTAGCAAAACTGGTACCTTAGGGGACACCCTGAAAATGTACCCTCCTATGACTAACCAGAATCTTGCTAACCAAAATCATTCTGCTTTTATTGACTTTATGTAATGGGGCTCTCATATTTTCACTTAAAAGAGGAGTTCCACTGCAGAAACAAATTTCAAATGCCAGTGGTCTGAATTAACACTGCAAACCCAAAGTTTCAAAGTTCTAATTCTGGCAGAAGAGACCACCTGCTACATGGCCTTTGAGTAAATCACTCAAATGAACCAGGTAGCAGCTTTCTTCTGAGAAAAGCTTTGATAAATTAACTCCTGTACCCCAAATGGGTATTTTACTGACAAGCAGCAGCTACTATAATATGTAAGACACATGAAGATATGATAAAAATTAAAAAGTCAAGGCCAGAAAACAAGTGTCCAATCCCATACCTGTTAGATCTGGCACAAAGGAACCTTCATTAGCTATTTATAGAGCTATGAAGAGATAAAATATAATTTCACATAAATGCTAAAAAATCCCCTATCTTCCCATTTTATTAAATATATTCATTCAATTGATTCTACAATAAACGTAATACTTTCAATAGTTGCCAAACCAAGTATTTTAAATATTTTTTAATGTTCTTTTAAATATCTAAATACCCAATTTATGGTGTAAATTTTAGGTCAATTAATAATTTTAATTATAAGGAAAGAGTATTATCCCCATTACATGGCAAAAGTTTTCAATGTCTACAATCATTTATTCCAATGTCTGTAAAGTTACTCCCAGCTCTGCAATTACCTTGGTGGCAAAACAAAAAATTCCTGCTATAAATAACGCCTCAATTTCTCCATCCATAAAACAGGAGTATTATTCTGTTTAAGAACATGTAATAGGAACACTGAAATTGATGCTTCATGTAATATTAACACTGAAGCTGATGGTCAGAAATTAACTGAAATCTCCTTTCCATTCATTATTTCAGTTATATAAACAAGTAATTCTAAAATGTAAATTCCTTGTTGTATTAACTGGTATCTCATAATTGACATAATTCATTATAAGACCAAAAATCAGCCGAAAGTCAAGTTCATCAACTTGAAGGTGTAGAGAAAATATTATTATTCTAAATAAATCTTTTTATACAAATGCTCACAGATTATCTGAAATATCAGTTGTTTATATAAAGGTTAGAACAGATTATTTCTAATCACAACATGTGTACATTTAACCATTTCTCCCCCAAACTGATAAAACTTTCCTTGTTCCTCTTCATAAATATTTATCATCCAAAGCTTCTAGTTTATTAAAATACTCAACACAACATTACATACAATTGCGGTTAAACCATTACCTTAAGAAATATAAATATGCATATTTTCTTTCCAGGAAAATAAAGAGACGATATTCAAGGAAACTCAGAGCTAAAGTTTTTAACTTTAAGAATCTCCATACTGCCGCCTCTGAACTGAAAATTACTGCTTTTTAGCGATTACAATCCACAAACAAAAAGAGCTGAAGCCAACAGCTTAAGAAAAAACACAGTAAGTCAACCCCCAGTGGGGTCACCGTCCTGCTACCCAAAATGGAGAGCTTTTACCTTCCCAATTTCTGATGCCCAAGAAATGGATATTTGGTTTGGCACAGCTGAAGATAACCTAACTAAAGATGTAATATTCAAGGGGCGTCCAGGGCGCTTCTGTTCAATCCCATTTTTAGGCGGTGGTGCGTAGCCCTATAACCATAAGAAAGAAAAATTATTTCAAATTATCTGCAGGAAGATTAAACATTTTCTCCAAGATAGATACAGGATCCTGCCCAATTTCAGTTACACTATTTTTATTTTAGCCTAAAAATCATATAGCCCTTATTATCATTATCAACCCAAAACAGGAAAACAACCTTTGAAAAAAAGTTACAAAATATTTCACAAGTCCAGAAAGGTAGGAAAAAAATCCATGTCCCATCATTAAAATTAAAGATGCTGACATCTTGCCACATTGGCTATGAATCGTTTTCCTTTTTTATAGGACACCAAGCTTTACAGATAAAGTCACAACTTTTTATAATGATTCATCCTTAGCAATCCCCATTTCAAATACATGCATATATTCGGGGTGGGAAAGAAAGAAAGCAAACTGGGAATTGAGGGGAAAGAAAGAACAAACTAACGAATTTCATTTTTAAAATTTGGTGAGTGATAAAAATATTTTCCACTGCATTTTCTCTGGGTGGAACAGAAATGGTAATCTTTTAACCCAGGTCAAGTTAACAAATAAGGATAATCAGCATTTCAACTGTCATTAAATGAGCTTCATGGCTATCAGATAATACTGCTATTTATGCTTTAATCTACTTTTATCTAGTCATCAACCATTTGTTTTAAATAGCAAGTATACTCATTTCTGATTCGCAGTGTATCCAATTCCCAATTACCACAAGACTTCACTCTGATTTTTCAGAGCCAAAATAATGTATTTTTTAGAAAATTAAAATGTCTTAGCTGCAAAAAATCTACATATTGAAAAGTAGATACTGTATTTCACTGACGCTAGGATGTCATTGATGTAATTTAATTATGTACTATTGAGAAAGAGAAAATACTATGTATATATGGCAACGAAATGGAAGCAAAATGAATTAACATATTCCCTTTTGGACATAAGAATCTTCTGAATCACTTTTCACTCCATCATTAATCCATACATTTTTCCACATAACACTCCCCTATGCACAAGCAGGAATTTTAGAGAAAAAAGTATCTTTTAAAACTGTATTTCATTCCACTAATGTCTCAGATTTCTCTGCAAGTCACTGACACCATTAACTGGATGTGTTAATGGGGATACAGTCTGGATCTTATGAGAATCCATCAGTGAAAAGTTTTCAGACAACAGCCAGCATTCATGCTTCTTTCTCAAAATGTCCTTAAATTATTTGTTAACTGAAAAGCCAGGAGTACAGCTAACTAGTCACGCCATGGCATTAACACCAAAGTTGTACAAGTGCAGACAATGATAATACATCACAGCTGACACCTGGTCACCAGCAATTTTAAGACACTTCTGGATTTCAGTAATGCTAAAATATGCACCTTAGGACCAATGAAAACTAGTACTGGTAGTATCACATGGCAAAGAGGACCACACCCTGTCTACCACAACTTGGGAACTGTCTCATAAGGGGCAGGACAGTAATTATTAAATGGTAATCCACATGATAATGTGTAATCTATAACTTGCAAAAAATTTTGAAAGTAATTAAAAACGTTTGAGCAGGGGAGTAAAAGACAAAGAGAAGAACTTAACTTGCACTAGAATACAGAAATGAAAGAGAGAGAGACAGTGTGTGAGTGTGTGTGTGTGTGAGTGTGTGTGTGTATGAAGGTTATGCCCATCTTAAGTTGCTCAAGTGAAAAAAAAAAAAAAAAAGTTGCTCAGAAAAAGAAAAAAAAAAACTCCTAAGAAAAGTCCTCTTAAAAAGACTCAAGAAGTTGATTCAATGAGCAACAAGTACAAGGAATATCAACACCAGTATCTAGGTAATTCCGAACGAAACTTTTGTTTTGCCTGTTTTGGGCCTGGAAGATAATTCCGTCTGCTGGTATGTCCACTAGTAGGTTAACCAAGTAAAAATGATACAGGGTCTGTCAGGAGGATAAAAATAACTCATGAACTAAAATGTGCACTCTGGAAATTAGAATTTAAGACATAACACAGTCTGACATAGTAGAAAAGGGCAACAGAAGCAGGGAGAGTGACACTCATGTAAGAATGAAGTGTCAGCAAACTCAGAATCATGTTAGTCTCACTCAGTGTAAAGCGTTTTCAATCTATTCTATATCCCATTTGAGTAGTGTGACTTTACTGGTAATTCTGAGTTATCTGATAACCTGTATTCTACCTCTAACCATCAGCACCACCCCTACCCAACCATCAATTTCCTGGTTATTGAGAATATATTAATAGTTGGAATTTTATAAAATATAAAGTTTAGCCTTCACACATATTTCTAACAATTTTCCATATTTAAAGCAAAAATAAAGTCAAGTTCATGTGACAGGTAACCAGTGGGGCAAATCTGCAAGCTTTCTAAGCAAAGGCTGCTGGACAGCACCAGCGGAAGACTTCGTGGTGGTCCTGTGACACACTCAAATAATTTTTTATGTTTCATGCTCTGATGACACCCTACCCTACTTGCAACTGTGACAAAAGTAGTCCACAATTATTCTACTTTAACATTTTCCTCCAAATTTTCTAATTATCACTACTACTTGAATACTTCTAACACAGATTTACTTTTTAACTTTATGGAAATTTTCAAACATACACAAGAAAGGTACAAACAGCAGGGACCCAACAACCAGGTTCAATAATTATCCACGTTGCCAATGTTGTTTCAAATGTTTTTGGCCCCAAAGCCAATCTGCCCTAAAACACACACACCACAAAAATACACATTTCTTTTTGCCCTTGAGTATTTAAACTCAAATTCTAGACATGCCATTTAACCCAGATATTCAACATGGATCTCTAATAAGACTTTAAAAACCTACAGTATTACAACCCCACAAAAATAACCAGTTTTAAAAAATCACCTAATACCTTGTCTTTCGATTCAGATTTCCCAGATGCCTCAAAATTTATTTTCCTTTCATCCTTTTATTATTGAAAATTTTAAACATATACAAAAATAGAGAAAAAAGTATAACACGTATATATCTATCAGTTCAGTAATTTACTTACCCATGAACAATCTTTACCTACTCTACCCAACCCCCACTCCAGATTATTTTAAAGCAAATCTCAGATATATTTTCTATTTTCTCCATATGTAGTTTAGTATAGTCCTTTTACGGCTTGAATCAGAATTAAAAACTAGAGCCCCACACCACACTTAGTTATGTCTCTGAAGTGTCCTTTATTCTATAAACACAACCCCTGCCGTCTCCAAACACACACTTTTTCCCCAATGCTGTTGTTCTACTGGAGAAACCAGGACTTTTGACCTGAAGAACGACTTCGCATTTTAGATTAGGTATTTTGCTTCCTCGAAGTATGAGATTTGTTGCTCTATCTCCGATATATTTTTAAAACCACTAATTAGTTGTAAAAGCTTGATTAAACTTGGGGTCAAAATTTTAGAAACAAAAAACTTCAGAGAAAATGTTGCATACTTCATATGGTACCCACATCATAATGCACAGAAGGTTGTTTGCCCTGTTTTCAGTGGTGTCAAGACTGATTAGGAGTTCAGGGGATGTCAGCCTGATCCCTCCACTATAAAGTTCCCTGTCAAGTTTTGGCATCCATTGATGATAGCTACCTAGACCCATTATATGATTATGAATTGTGGAATAATGATTTTCTAATTCTATTACCCTTTTGATTGTATTAGCCAAAATGTTTCCATAAAGAGCTTGACCAAATCAACAGCCGGTCACCTTGAAATAAATGATTCTCTTCCTTAATCTTCAGAGCAGTGTGTTAGTGCAACCTCCAGTGGCTTATTTTAGTATAATTATTATAAACACACTTACATATTTGATAGTTGAGTCTACTATAATCATTATTCTTTCAGATGTCAAAATTATCACTTCTCAGGTAAGGAGGTGCCTCTTCAAATTGGGGTGAGTGCACACAAGTATGTGTTTTAAAAGAAGAAATGTTGAGTTTACGTCAGTCCTGATTCACTGTGAGGCAGGCCATCAGGGTGACTAACACACAGCATCAGGAAACATAAATCCATGAGCTCAGAAATAGAATTTATAAGAAGGGGGCCAGTACTGATAAGTCTTCTGGCTGCACCAAAAGGAACTACTTGGAGATTGTTGCCAGCTGAATTACAGCACATATCCTCTCTACACTCTTTAGGTCTTTCAAAGAAATATTCTTGTCAACCCTTCTTCCTTCCTTCAACTTTAGAGCTACACAAGTTTTATAGACATTTTTCACAAATTGTTTAGAAGAAAAATAATTCAGCTTCTTAAAATAACTCCTAAGCAAAGAGGGCCTTTTTCTTTCTTCTGCCCATTAAAAATATGGAATGTTCTCATCTGGCTGTCAGTCTGTAGAATGGCAGCCCTTGGAGTCAAAGATAGGAGATGGTCTCTGCAGCAGGTTCTTGTCTGTCCACACTGCATGTCACCATCCCACAAGCCCTACTATGAGCTGCTGTCTTCCTTGTACCAAGGGAACCTGGAAAATGAATGCATGAAGGTGTTTTGTAAAACTCAGCATCTTGATGTAGGTTAAAAAGCACACATGCTGCTTGTATCACTATTTGATCCTTAACAGTCTAGGGACACGCTGCCATTTTCAAAGTAATACCATTTCCCATTCCTATGTTTACTTTGTACATGCAGTACAGTGGTCAACTGCCACGGGTCCACAAAGACTGGATGTTACCATAAGATCATACACATAAGGACTTCCTCCAGGACATAGACAAATGCAACCATATTCAGGGCTCTAATGGGCAATTCATGACTGTCTCAAGCTTTTTCCTCCAGGATTCGTGGTTCAATACACCAGGATCATGGGCAAGGACCACCTATCAAACTTCTTTTGTGGCTTGTTGATGCTTCTTAAAACTGGAACAAAGTCCCTGAGGCTCTCCATGGTGCAAGAGCTCAATATAACTCCTATAGGGCCACAGCAGCTTTCTTCTTCTGAAGCTGCAGCATACTCATGTAATTCTTAAAAACTGCAGAATCTTGTTTTACATTAAAAAAGACTCCATATTTCATTATCCCAATCAATAGCAACTGTGGATCAAGTGGTGGTTTAAGATGTTTTCCATCAGATGCGAATTTCTGTCAGTTGTTCTACAGGACTTTACGGAGCTAGGGTAAAAAGACTCTTTGGGAAAGGCAGGCATTTGATTTTCTTTGGGATGGCCCTATAAGGGTCAGGCAAGTCCTCCCCATTGCCTTCTGTTTTTGAGATATATCTTTACTGTTCTCTCAAGGCTCCATTTCTTCTCTTCTTTCACAACTGCCCATGGAGCTGCTGCAGGCCCCTGGCTCCAGGCATGACAGACTCATTAGACAAAGGGTGTTTTGTGTAGTAGTCAATATGTTCATAAATAGGCTAATACAAGTAATCAAGGGTTAGTGGGTGCTTTGGGGCAGAAATCAGCAGTAATTAAGCAACAATGCCCCAGAAGAAGTACTCAACTGCCTAATTTCTTCTCACTCTAAAGAACTGGAAGTAACAAACTCTAAGCCATCCTCAGTGGTGCTGTAGACCTACAGAAAGGTATCATCCCAAAATGTGACAATGACTGGTCCATTTGGAAATTCTGGTAACTTCTATGTTTACACATCTGTAGCCACCATATTTTCCATAGCAATGCCAGAGTTTCAGATGCAGCTCCCATCACTGGCACAGTCACATGATGATACAGGGTAAGTCTTCAAGGTGAGTCCAAAGATACCAAGAAGCCCTCCGTTGTCTTATTTTTCATCATAGATAATGGGAGGGGCAAATAGCAATGAGAGTCAAAGGTCAAAGAAATCTTAGCAGCCAAGCGCAGTGGCTCACACCTGTAATCCCAACACCTTGGGAGGCCAACACAGGTGGATCGCTTGAGCCCAGGAGTTCAAGACCAGCCTGGGAAACATGGCGAAGCCCTGTCTCTACAAAAAATACAAAAATTTGCCAGGCATGGTGGCACATGCTTGTAGTCCCAGCTACTAAGGAGAGTGAGATGGGAGAATCGCTTGAGCCTCTAGGAGGCTGAGAGTACAGAGTGAGCCGAGACTACACTAATGCACTCCAGACTGGGCAACAGACCTGAGAGCCTTCTTTTTTTTTTTTTTTTAATTAAAGAAAAGAAAAAATGAAATCTTAGCACGTGCAAGGCAAAGAAAAATGGATATGAAAAGGCCATGGGACAGGTGCACAGGGATGTGTTTTAACCTGTTTTGCCAGGCTTTCTTTGCCACACATGCAGTATCTTTTTTTTTTTCATTTCATTTTTTTCACATAATTTTTTTAAATTACACTTTATGTTCTAGGGTACATGTGCACAACGTGCAGGTTTGTTACATATGTATACATGTGCTATGTTGGTGTGCTGCACCCATTAACTCGTCATCCATTTACATTAGGTATATCTCCTAATGCTATCCCTCCCCTCTCCCGCTACCCCACAACAGGCCCTGGTGTGTGATGTTCCCCTTCCTGTGTCCAAGTGTTCTCATTGTTCAATTCTCACCTATGAGTGAGAACATGCGGTGTTTGGTTTTCTGTTCTTGCGATAGTTTGCTGAGAATGATGGTTTCCAGTTGCATCCATGTCCCTACAAAGGACATGAACTCATCCTTTTTTATGGCTGCATAGTATTCCATGGTGTATATGTGCCACATTTTCTTTCAGCTCTAAGTAGGGCTGCTTCTTCCCTTGGTTCACATCTTTGTGCAAACTAGCCAAATAAAAGATAATGGCCAGGCACGGTGGCTCATGCCTCTAATCCCAGCACTTTGGGAGGCCGAGGCAGGCAGATCACGAGGTCAGGAGTTCGAGACCAGCCAGCCAACATGGTGAAACCCTGTCTCTACTAAAATTACAAAAATCAGCCAGGTGTGGTGGTGGGCACCTGTAATCCCAGCTACTCAGAAGGCTAAGGCTGGAGAACTGCCTGAACCCGGGAGGCAGAGGTTGCAGTGAGCCGAGATTACACCACTGCACTCCAGCATGGGTGACACAGCAAGACTCTTACCTTGGGTGGGGGTGGGAGGTGAGCGGGAAAAAAAGATAGCTTCTGAGAATCTGGTTGCTAGTAGCCGGAAACCTGACAAAATAAATGTCCCACCTGGGGGAACATGTATGGGCCACGTAAGCAATCCTCCCTGACCATACCTACTCAGCCTCTGCAATTCCCCTTCACTCCCGGGACTGTCTCAATGGATTTGTTTCATACGCATCTTTCAAAAAGAGTCAGTCAGTGATGCAGTGTTGCTCAAACCCTTCAAAATTCACAAAACCAGTATTTCTCAGGTCTCTAAGTCCACAGGCTGTGTATGTGACAAATGAGCCTCCTGACAACCAAGAGAAGTCAGATGCCTCTGTCTACAAGACCAGGGTCAGTTTCAGTCATGGACTTTCTTCACTCTGGGGCTCAATTCTTAGCACTTGGCTCTGTAGAGCCCAGAGTCCTAGATCATATTGTCTGACTTGCTTGGCTACTCATGAGTATTGCTCATATATTTAGTCTAGAGCCCAGTCTCGTGTTTAGTAGGGATATTACACAGCTTCCCCATTTCCTCAATAGTTGCAGAGTGTCAGCTCTGGTGAAATGACAACTGGGGCTAGTCATGAGTCACTGCTCTCTTAGGGATTCACTTACAGTAAACACACCTCCAATTTTGTAATGCTTGACAAACATGCCATGTTGTACTATTTTTTTGATTATGGTTTTGCTGGCCTTCCTAAGGAATGGTACCAATTTAGTAATGTATCCAAAATGGAAACCAATACATAGTCCAGTTCTACGTTTTTTATTTTATTATTCTAAGACTTGACTATCAGGATTTGAACAGTTAAAAGCCATCTATTAGGCCAGAGACAGGCTGTATGCATTTACATCGTATACATCCTAGGTGCTGAAGCCCATGTACTCTCTCACTGCTTAAATGTGTTGTCACCCAACAATCATTGCACCCACCCACCACAAGCGAATGCATCATCAAGGCCCAAGCTGGGAATTCTTGATCTCTGTAGTTAGCCACTCTCAGCAGCCTCTGTTTTTCCAAAAGCCATCCACAGGCAGGCCCATCTAATCTAGACATCCCACACATGCTGTCCTATACATGAAAGTGCCCAAGTCCTTCTCTTCAACTATGCTGTTTGATATAATCCCAAGAGTATTTCACAGCATCCTTGATTTCTTAAGTAAGATGCTCCAGGCTCTAGTCAGGAGCAATGGTGCACAAGGGTAGTCCCCACTACTTAGGAGGCTGAGATGGGAGGACTGCTGGAGCCTATAAGTTCAAGTCAAGCCTGGGGAACATAGCAGAACCCTGTCTCTTTAAAAAAAAAAAAAAAAGATATTCCAGGCTCATCTTTTCCATCTCCTTCAGACCTGAATAAGCCATTTATTATTTATCCAAGAAGGCAATGGGTTACTCTAGTGGAAAATAGTATTTAATCTAGATGCTAAAACTGTTCACTTGTATTCAGTTGTCACTGTTTCTAGGCCTTGTCAGTGTTTATATTGAACTTATATGCAAATCTGGTGAATAAAAAGCAACTTACAGGCAAAGGAAATAGCTTCCCATTTACTTTTATACATAGACTATTTGGATAGTTATCTTCTTGAGGGCAACTTGTCTCTGCCAGGCAAAGTCTGCATTAATAAAAGAAAAAAAGTATTCTTAAATAGCGTGCTCAAACATTCTCACATGTTTTAAAACTCAGAACTACATGCATATAGTAAGCAAGTATAAAACTAAGGTAACAGAAAATTTCAAACTCACCTCAACTGAACTTGGACTGTATAATCTCTCCTACCACCTGGCAAAAAATCCCTGTTAGAAAGAGAAAGAAAATGGGTTAAAAAAGCACAATAAGAATTCTCAGAACAGTCTCACCAGGAGGAAAAAAAGGAAAAGCATTATTTGTATTTTTCTTATTCCCTGAAAGGTGAACAATAGACTGCCAATAATACAAGCCTTAATCAAAACATTGTAATGATGATCAACCTGATTGGCTTAACTTCTAGCCATGTCTTTATGGCAATTTTAAATTAGTTTCAATGCACAGGAACTTTGATGATGCAAAATTTATTTCAATAGACATCAAACTTGGTAACATGCAAGGAAGCAGACTAAGTTCAGAAAGAGTTTTAATCAATAAATCTATTTGCTTAGAGTATTCTAATCACTTGAAGACTTTTTTCTTTTTCTTTTTTTTTGAGACAGAGTCTCGCCCTGTCACCCAGGCTGGAGTGCAGTGGTGCAATCTCAGCTCACTGCAAGCTCCGCCTCCCAGGTTCACGCCATTCTCCTGCCTCAGCCTCCCGAGTAGCTGGGACTAAAATGCCTGCCACCATGCCCAGCTAATTTTTTTGTATATTTTTAGTAGAGACAGGGTTTCACTGTGTTAGCCAGGATGGTCTCGATCTCCTGACCTTGTGATCCGCCTGCCTCGGCCTCCCAAAGCACTGGGATTACAGACGTGAGCCATCGCGCCCAGCCGAAGACTTTTTTTTAAATATAAAGACGTATTCACTGGCTATTCTTATTGATGTCAAGTACAGCCTAAGCATTAGTTTTTATAGTTACTAGGGGGATACTAATACAAGACCCAGGATAAAGAATTAGTGCCTAGAGTCTCAGCATCTCCATACCATGCAACTTCATAATTACGTATCCAATTAAAGATACAGAACCTCTTACAATTTCTAGATGAGAATCTAATGGTCCCATGTAAAATATATTTCATACTGAACCCTCCAAACTCTTGCTACGCAACATGGAGTCCACGGGGAAGCAGCACTGTTATTCCTTAGGAGCTTGTTGGAAATGCAGACTCTGAGGCCCCATCCTAGACCTATAGAATTAGAATCTGCATGTTAACAAGATCCTCAGGTGACATGCATACACATTACAGTTTTAAGAAGTATTATCCTCAGCCATTGTCATAAATCTTGGACTCTGTCAGAGAGAAGATCACTAGAATGTAGTTGTTTCTTGAGAAGACTGGAGTACACTGAGCCCTCATGGTGCTCTAACTGGGCCAGTCTTCTGTTTCCAATCCTCGAGCTCCACTGGAAGGCATTAAAGCACAGCAGTGACAACCACCTTAAGTTCTACAGTCCCAAGCTGCACAACATCGTGCAAATCACTTAACCATTCTGTGCCTCAGTTTCTACATCTGTTAAAGATGGAAAATTACTGCACCAACCTCATCAAGTTGCTGTGACAATTAAACATGCTAATAACACATGTCAAGTGCCTAAATATAAGATGTGCTCAACACATGGAAGCAGCTGGCTGCTGTGACTGTTTCCACTGCTCCCACTGTTCTTACCAAGAGCAGCTTTCTCAAATGGCTATTCAAAACATCCCCATATCCTTGACAATACTGACCTCTTCTGAGCAACCCATATCACTCCACTCATGCAAATCAAGAAACATTTCATATTCTGGGCGCTGGAGCTTCAAAGACAAATATAACACAGTATTTGCTTCAAAGGATTTATACGCTAAGCAGGTAACAGACATACAACACGTAAAGTAAAATATAGTAAGTGGTACAGTACATTATGAAAAGTAAGTGCTATAGAAAAAGGGAAAATTTTTGTCTTGAAAGTTCAAGGTCGTTATCATAATTAGTCCAATCTAACTAGAAAACAGGGTTTTTTCAGCAGTGGTTCTACCTACTTCTGCTTAGTGGCTCCACTAGGAACATGAGTAACTGTGGGTATCTAGTACAGTAATTTCCAGCAAAAAAGAAAGACCAGAGATACAGATCAGAAAAGATGGGAAACATGATGTGAAGAAAGAGAAATGACAAGAGATGAGCCTAGAAAGATGGATGGAAGCATAAAGGGTTTTGAACAGCTCACTAAGGAGTTATACTTTATTCTGGCAAGGGAAATTAACAAAAACTGGAAAATACAATGTGCTAAATATCTTCACAAACATTATGAGTAATGACCAAGGCATTTTCTGACATTCATTTTCTGCCCATCATTGTTCTAGGAACTTTTACATATTGGTCCATCCGATATAAAAGAAGCATTTACTATATGCTAAGTACTGTAATGGGTTTTGAGATGATAAAAATGAGTAAAAGATGCTGCTTTCATTAAGAAGGTTGCAAATGCAAGCAGTGAAATAAATGCAATGATGCCTTAACAGAAAATAAGTACATGGCAAAGTGAGAAACAAAGGAAACATTAAAGCAAATCTGGAAAGGCACCACAGGGGACGTATGACCTGAAGTGGCCCTTGAAACACGGCTCAAGAGGTTTGCCAGGCAGAGTACAGAGAAAGAAGACGGCAAAAGTGCAAAGATGTGAACACCACGGTTAACCTAGGAAACACAAATGGGAAAGCCTAGTCAGAGCACAGGTTGTTAGAAAAGAGTAACAGGAGATAAGATGATTTAAAAAACAAAACAAAACAAAAAAGCAGAGCAAGATGTTGAAAACAACTGCCAGGCAATGGAGTGTGGACTTTATGAGGTACCATTAGAGTGTGTTTAAAGCATCAAAGAGAAAAAAAATGAATGGGCTTTAGAAAGATCATACGTAGGAGCCTTCTAATAGAAAGATCTCATAATTAGGAAACCATTACAATTGAAGAGGCAAAAACAAAGGCTTGAAGCTGGGTGCAGTGGCTCACGCCTGTAATCCCAACATTTAGGAAGGCTGAAGTAGGTGGAGTACAGGACCAGCCTAGGCAACATAGCAAGACCCCGTCTAAACAAAAAATAGAAAAATTAGCCAGATGTGGTGGCACGTGCCTACAGTCCCAGCTAGTTAGGAAGCTAAGGTGGGAGGATCAATTGAGCCCAGACATAAAAGGCCGCAGTGAGCCTTGATTGTGGCACTGTACTTTCAGCCTGGGTGACACAGCAAGACCCTGGCTCAAAAAATAATAGTAATTTCAAATGGGGGTCTGAAAACTATTAAACATAAATATCACTGAGTGATATTTACACATAAAAAATGGTAAGACTTGGCCAGGCACGGTGGCTCATGCCTGTAATTCCAGCACTTTGGGAGGCCGAGGCGGGCGGATCACAGGGTCAGGAGATCGAGATCATCCTGGCTAACACGGTGAAACCTCGTCTCTACTAAAGATACAAAAAATTAGCCGGGCATGGTGGTGGGCGCCTGTAGTCCCAGCTACTCGGGAGGCTAAGGCAGGAGAATGGCGAGAACCTGGGAGGCGGAGCTTGCAGTGAGCCGAGATCGCGCCACTGCGCTCCAGCCTGGGCCACAGAGCAAGACTCCGTCTCAAAAACAAACAAACCAACAAAAAAAATGGTAAGACTTGATGAATGACTAGATGTAAGAAGGCAGGATAAAGGAAGGGAAGTTTCTAGGAGGGTATCCAGGTTTTGGAATGCTGCAACTGAAGAGATGGCCATGCTACTCAACAGGACAAGAAGAGGCAGAGCAAGTTACAGCATCAATCTTCCAAACCACCCAGAGAGGTGGTGATCATTATTCCAATTTTACATGCTGAGAAAGTGAGGTTTAGTCACCTGTTTAGGGGCATACAGACCTAAGTGGTTGGCTCAGAATTCACTCTCTACTTAGTATTACTCTAAAGGCCACACTAGCTCCCTCAAAGGCAGAGTTGCCTTGCTGAGTTTTAAAGATTCAGAAGGACATAAAAGAATCAATGAAGGGCTGGGGGCGGTGAGGCCGGTGGATCACGAGGTCAGGAGATCGAGAACATCCTGGCTAACACGGTGAAACCCTGTCTCTACTAAAAATATAAAAAATTAGCCAGGCGTGGTGGCAGGTGCCTGTAGTCCCAGCTACGCGGCAGGAGAATGGCGTGAGCCTGGGAGGCGGAGCTTGCAGTGAGCCGAGATGGCGACACCGCACTCCAGCCTGGGCCACAGCGCGAGACTCCGTCCCAAAAAAAAAAAAAAAAAAAAAATCAGTGAAGTGCAGCAAACTGAGAGGATGCTGTAAATGAAGAGTGGCCTATCACAAAGAGGCCTCCCAGGCAGATTCAAATGCCATTAATGAAATGAGTAATGCAGAAGGAAATACACTAAGCAAAAATCTCCATGAGGCCAGTTTGTTTTTCAACTTTGCGTCTTTGGTGCCTGGAATATTGTCTGGTCCATGGCGGACAGTTAATAAATGTGTGCTGAATGAATGAATAAAAGAACAAAAGACAAGCAGGTTTGATGGAAGGCTAGTTCAATTTTAGATGTGTTGTGCTTGATGTCCTTGTAGGTCAAAGGAGAGGCACTGAAAAAGGTGTCTGGAGGGAGGTGTTGGTAATTTCGCAGCCACCAATATAAAAATAATAAAGCACATTAATGAATATTATCATAGAGTAGCACGAAGAAAATCCCAGATTGATTCCTGAAAATGGGTACAAGAAGCCAGTGTGAGGAACTGAGAGAGCATGGTTAAAAATATACTAGCACCAAATGGAAGGAGCAGCGCTAAAGCCAAGAAGAGAACTGAATCCAATGTTCAATCTTCGCGAGATGTAACAGAAAGAAAAAATCTGCACAAGAACGTATTCAAGCCTCTAGTCTAGATCTTACTAGCACTACAGGCAAAGGGGAAGGAGCTAGAAACACAGCTGTGGTTTTCAAGTTGGCTGCATACCGGAAACCTGGGAAACTTTAAAACCCCTGATGTTTGGGTTCAATCTTGAGATTCTAATTTAACTGATGTGGGATAAAACCTGACTATGTGAATTTCCTAAATCTCCCCAGCTGATGCTAATATGCAGCAAAGTTTGAGAAACATGCGGAGAGAAGTAGTTAAATGACACAAGAAGCAATCATCCGAATCCAGAATGTACAATATGCTAGAGACAAATAAATCACTTTTTCTGGAAAGTAGTGTTATAAAATAAAGTCTAATGAGAGAAACCAGGGCTCCTTGGAGAACTGATCAATTCCACAGTTGCGGCAGAGAAAATACAAGATAAGCCTGGAGCATTTTTGGTGCAAGAAATTAAAGAGTGCTCAAAGTGGGTTTCCGGGAGAAAGGTATGCCAACAGGGCATAGGAGCCAACTTGAAAGAACTTCTAATAGACAAAGATAGAACAATTTGAGCAATATAAATTATTATAACATTGGAATATAACCCATAGAGCACCCATGAGTCCACACTGTTATAAATGAATAAATGGGCTGGGAATGGTGGCTCACATCTGTAAACCCACACCTGTAAACCCAATAGTTGGGGAGACAGAGGAGGGAAGCTCACTTGAGCACAGGTGTCTGAGACTAGCCTGTGCAATACAGTGAAACCTCATCCCTACAAAAAACATAAAAATTAGCCAAGTGTGGTGTTGTGTACCTGTTGCCTGATATGGTATCCTGAGAAGGGCACATAACTTGAGGTATTCTTGCCAAAAATGCACAACCTCCATCTAATCGTGATAAAGTATCAGTCATATCCCCAAATGAGAAAGAATCTACAAAACACCTGACCAGTTGTGAAAGACAAAACAAAACAAAACAAAACTAAGAAACTGTAACAGATTGAAGTAGAGTAGGATGACTCAACAATTAAACGTGATTTGGTATTGTATCTAGGAACAGAAGACGTTCATTGGCCAAAAAACTGGTGAAATCTGAATAAAGTCTGTAGTTAATAGTACTGTACCAATGTTGATTTCTTGGTTTTGATCATTGTACTATGGTGATATAAGATTTAATATTAAGGGAAACTGGGATAAAGAATATATGTCCTATTTATGTAATTTTTATCTAAATAAAAATTACTACAAAATGTAAAGTTTTTATGCTGGGCATGGTGGCTCACGCCTGTAATCCCAGCACTTTGGGAGGCCAAGACAGGTGGATCACTTGGGACCAGGAGTTCAAGACCACCCTGACCAACATGGCGAAACCCCACCTCTACCAAAAACACAAAAATTAGCCAGGTATGGTGGCGCCTGCCTGTAGTCACAGCTACTCAAGAGGCTGAGACAGGAGAATCGCTTGAACCCAGGAGGCGGAGGCTGCAATGAGCCGAGATCACGCTACTACACTCACTCCAGCCTGGATGACAGGGCGAGACTCTGTCTCAAAAAAAAAAATTATGTAATTAAGCACAGAATTTCCCAAACTTACTTAACTGAAACAATCTTATTTTTGAAAAACTCTTATTATCATCTCAAAGAGTGTTCTAATGAATAGTTGAAAAGGAAGTAAACAACTCTACTCAATTTCTTGTTCTGCTTTTAACATTACAGTCCCAAAAAATCATTAACCTCCAGAAGCCTTAGTTTCATTATGCTGAATCTTTTAAGAATGCAACTTTAAAGAGTCATATAAATAATATTTTGTTAACACTAAAGGGGTGTGTGTGTGTGTGTGTATGTGTATATATATACACACATATATACATTTTTTTTGAGACAGAGTTTCGCTCTTGTTGCCTAGGCTGGAGTGCAGTGGCGCGATCTCGGCTCATTGCAACCTCTGCCTCCTAGGTTAATGTGATTTTCCTACCTCAGCTTCCTGAGTAGCAGGGATTACAGGCGCCCACCACCACGCCCGGCTAATTTGTTGTATTTTTAGTAGAGACAGGTTTCGTCATGTTGGCCAGGCTGGTCTTGAACTCCTGAACTCAGATAATCCACCCACCTCAGCTTCCCAAACTGCTGGGATTACAAGCATGAGCCACCGTGCCCGGCCTTTTAAAAAATATTTTTAATTGGAAAATTAAATGCTACAGATTTCCTTTTCTTTCTTCTTACATCTCTTAGTTCATCTGCTCTTTACAAATGGGTCTACCAATACTTTTCATATATCTAGTAATTTTTTGGTCAGGATGACTATACAGCTCACTTTATCTATAACTGCCTCAGTTTATGTTCTTATCTCAGAATAATTATTAGTAATGTTTACTTTCACTCTCAAAAATGCCCCAGTTTGGAATGATAAAGCTTATGGTCACCCTGTCTTTGGGCTATTATAAATTCTTTTTATATTGTTTTTCCTAATTTTTTTTTTTTTTTCAGTCGGGGTCTCACTTTGTTGCCCAGTCTGGAGTGCTGTAGCACGATCACAACAGCTCACTGCAGCCTCGACCTCCCAGGCTCAAGTGATTCTCCCACCTCAGCTTCCTGAATAGGTGATGCTAATTTCTGTATTTCTTGTAGAGACAGGGTTTCACCATGTTGCCCAAGCTAGTCTGAACTCCTGGGCTCAAGTGATACTGCCACCTCCCAAAGTGCTAGGATTACAGGCGTGAGCCACCATGTCCAGCCCGGGAATAAATTTTTCATTTAAAAAATTATTGTCAAATAGAACAAAAAGCAATCTAAAAGACATTGAGGTTTTATTCAAAGGTTAAAAATTTTTTCTAATACACAGTATTTACTTAATATTTGGCTGACTTTAGTCAAAGTATACTACCCTTTCATAAAAGAAACAGGTCAACTGTTATGGACTGAATTGTGTATCCCCAAACATATGTTGAAGTCTTAACCCCCAATGTGACTGTATTTGGAGACAAGGCCTTTAAGGAGGAAATTAAGGTTAAATAAAGCCACAGGGTAGGTCCCTAATCCAATATGAATGTGTCCTTACAAGAAAAGAAAGACATCAGGGATGCACTAGTACAGAGAAAAGGCCATCTGAGATGTGCAAGCCAAGGAGAAAGGCTTCAGGAGAAATCAAACCTGCCAAAACCTTGATCTTGGACAGAAGCCTCCAGGATTTTGAGAAATAAGTCTGTTGCTTACGCTGTTCTCAGTCTGTGAAATTTTGTTATGGCAGCCCTACAGGTGAATAAACCAATATTCATGAGAAATACATTCCAAATATTCCTCTTACCTGGATATGCATATCTCTCTAACTTGTTGAGGTGTCAAAGCAAAAATAAAAAACTTCTCTTGAAATCGCTGAATACTGCTTTGAACTGGGAAGAAAAAAAAAGAAAGATAATATTTCAATAACAAATCCAACACTACAACCACCTGCAATAACCAGGCATTTTTTTATGAAGTACCTGCCTAATTCTGAAACGTTATGGTTAAAATACTCCAAAATCAAGAAGTACTAAACTGCATTCATCTTGGAATCATGAGTAAAGTTACTACAAAGGGATTTCTTTAACGTTAAGTATGTAACCTCATTCTTTACTCTAAAATACTAATGCAGGCTGGGCGCAGTGGCTTATGCCTGTAATCCCAGCACTTTGGAAAGCCGAGGTGGGTGGATCACCTGAGGTCAGGAGTTCAAGACCAGCCTGACCAACATGGAGAAACCCCGTCTCTACTAAAATTATAAAATTAGCTGGACCTGGTGGTGTGTGCCTGTAATCCCAGCTACATGGGAGGCTGAGGCAGGAGAATCACTTGAACCCAAGAGGCGGAGGTTGCAGTGAGCCAAGATTGCACCATTGCGCTCCAGTCTAGGCAACAAGAGTGAAACTCCATCTCAAAAAAAAAAAAAAAAAAAAACAAACAAACCAATGTACGGTAAAAATGTAACAAAACCCTTCAATATTACATTTCATTCTTAACTATAATATTATCTAATGAAAGGAAGTCAAAATGCTCCCCAGGAGAACTCTATCCAAGAATTAAATGCTTTTTATTTTTCTTTGTTGTATTTTGCTTTTGGTGCCCTATATTTATTACACAAAACACTCATATGAGAAAATTTTGAATGTCAAAACTTTTAAGTTTTGAAGTTATTAAGATACATAATAATTTGCATATGAAAGTCTGCCCAGATAAAAAATATTACTTAATGAAATCATCCTTATGTATATTATTACCTGAAATGTATTTATGACTTCACAAAAGCCTGTAATAGGTTAATAATGAATTATTCAATAATGTTCTAGTGTCCATTAAAACAAACATAAAAGTTAATATATATATATAGAGGCCTCAAGTCTTCTGCTTCCTAACAATTGCAACATCACCCACATAAAGGCAAAATGGGGACAGGCACAGTGGCTCACGCCTGTAATCCCAGCACTTTGGGAGGCCAAGGCACACGGATCACCTGAGGTCAAGTGTTCAAGACCAGTCTGGCTAACACGGTGAAACCCCATCTCTACTAAAAACACAAAAATTAGCCAGGCATGGTGGCATGTGCCTGTAATCCCAGCTACTCCAGAGGCTGAGGCAGGAGAATCACTTCAACCTGGGAGGCGGAGGTTGCAGTGAGCTGAGATCGTACCATTGCACTCTAGCCTGGGTGACGAGGGAGACCCTGTCTTCAAAAAAAAAAAAAGGTAAAATGGTCCTTGTGTATAATACTGTCTAGTTTTCCTGCTATATGAATATAAAAAAGATGCCAATTGAATATCCAATGTCAGAGAGGTTCAACCACAAGTCACATCAAGTCAGAAAAATATTAATTCCCTAGCTAAGATATTCTTTTCTTTAAGCACAGGCAGATTATTATATCAATTATTCTCCTAAAAATCATGTCACAAAATGGTTCATATTTTTTCAGAACACTTTAAAAAGGAGGGAAGAGGGAGATGCCGTTTATGATGAAGGCCAAAAAGTAAAATAAAACTCTGGATTATAAACATAATTATGGAGCATCAAACACAGAAACATAAGTAAGCCTCTTCATTTCTCCAGTTTCTATTTACTCCTCAACCCTTTTTTTCTTGTTCGGACTCCACTTTTCATTCTCTATCTGTGGCTAAGGTCACCAATGACCTCTTAACTGTCAAATGTAACAACCTGTATTTTGAGATTACAAGTAAACTTGCTGCATTTTAATCTTAACTAATTAATGACATGAGCATCCAGTCTCTTGAGCCAGAAACCTCAAAAGGTCTAACATAAGTACAAATGGAGAATTAAAAGAAGAGAGTGTAAAATGAGGCATTAAAAAGTAAAACTACTTGCAGAAATAATGAGTCAATAATCCTACCTTTGATGGAGGTGAAAAAAGGATTTACAAATCAAATTCCATGTAAAATAATACAAAGAACTACCTAGTCAGATCATAACCAAACTATTGAAAACCAACAACTATAAAATCTTGAAAGCAACGAAAGAAAAAAGAAACAAGGGAACAATACAAACCAAGGCCACTTCTCATCAGAAGCAATATAGGCCAGAAGGTATCTTTAAAGTGGTGAAAGAACAAACTCAACTGAAAATTCAATACCCCTCAAAAGCAGAGTGGAAGAATAACTTTTCAGATAAACAGAAGATATAAGAATTTGTTGACAGCAGACATGCATTACAAGAAATGTAAAACAAAATTACCGGGATTATTTAAAAACATATAAATTCAAAACTGGATCTCTGGGAATGAAAATCTTACAGTAAATAAGTGTAAATGTAAAACAGTATGCTGTATTTTCTTCTTGTAATTTCCTTCAAAAGACTATTGAAAGCTAAAGTGATGGCATTGAAAGGCAGTATTTCTAACACAGGGAGGAAATACGAGAACAGCAAAAAGAATGGAGGGGGTAGATAAAGGAAATTATCTCCCCAACAGCTGTATTTCCTGCTTTTTTCTGATAAACCTGATTACCTAAATCTCCCTAAAGACCAATCCACTCTTAGCGTGCCAAAAGCAGCAGGTATCTACACCTGTAAAGTTGGGCACAAGACCCTCTGTGAATTCACCAGGATAAATGCCAGTATTTGAGGCTCTGTCTGAATGACTGGAGTCAACCTATCCTTAAAAGTTTCCAAAACCCATGAACCTTAACATTTGGAATGAGAATGGTTCCATAGTCATGTTGTACATGTATGCTCGACACGTACTTTTATATCAAATTGCACTTACATGTTGCACATATGCAATATATATGTACAATTTATAGAACTGGAAGGTTAATGTTAGTAGTCTGTGTCATAGTAGACATATTCTTGGTGTGCCTTTTATTTTTCTGACATATCTTTGACTTTACCTATATCTGCTGTCAAATTTTCAATCCAGATTATAATCTCAAATAACCACCCTGTATCTACAGAAAAATGGATTTGTGTCATTGCTATATACTATAACTAGACTCCAGGAACTTATAGCAACAAAAAATAGCGCATATGCTAATACAAATCTAATGTGTATTAACACTGACAGTTTTTAGATAAGTCAATTTTATGATAGAACAGCAGCCAAAAGCATACCAAACTTTCCATAAAGTAAATTTGCTAGCTGAATGGTCATTTTACCATAAGTCATGAGAAAGAATGCAGGATGCAAAGTAAAGTATGAACGTTTTGCAGTTTATTTCCTCCCCATTGTCTACAATTTGGGAATCAGAAAACCAATTCTGCAGAGATTCCATGAATGCCTTTAGGTTAAGAGCAAATGAAAGGAAAAAAGATCATGGCTCAAGGGCATGAATTAAATATGGCTTTATTCAAAACCTTTCCTTTTGCAACAACTCTTCATAATGTAGATTCTATTTTCCAAATATAACCACATTATCTCCCATGGTGTCCTCCTTTTTATGTAAACTTGACACTCTTCCAATTGAGTAGTGGGGTCTTTATCACCCTCCCTTTGAATCTGAATGGCCTTTTGTAACAGCATCAACCAACAGTGTACAGTTTAAGTGATGCTATACAGCTCCAAGCCTGAACCATAAAAATACCATGCACATCTTCCTTGCTCTGTGGGGACACTCATTCCTGGAACCTAGCTCTCATGCTATAAAGTAGCCCAAATTAGACCACATGAAGAAGCCACATATGGGTATTCCAGCCAACAGCCAAGTTAAGTCCAAGTCATCAGGTGGCATAGCTGCCAAAGATGTCAGGGAAGATGCCTCCAAGTGATGTGAGCTTCTAGCCAAGTGCATCTCAAGCATATGTCTTCTCAGCTAAGACCCCACACATCTTGGGATAAGAAACAAGCCACCCACACACTGCCCTTCCAAATTACTGACCTAAGGAATCCATGAGCATGTCAGATACAGTAAGTTCCTCTTCAAAGGTTTAATTTCTGACTTCCTTATTCTTTGTTCTTGAGCTCTACTTCCTTGTCTCTTCTCCTAAGCTATCTGCTCTGTAAACAACTTCTCCTGCCAGTGCCAATCTGTAACTCACTTCTCTTCCTTATTTGGAAAGAGTCCTCTTTAATCCTGGCTACCCATTCTGTCAGCAACCCCTACTGCTGAAATAGCTCTCCCTGTTAAAAACTACGCTTCCCACCTTTGCTGCACCCTGACATGCCCAAACATGCCTTGTACTGTAACAGACAGCCTCTCCCCGCCTAATTAGCCATATTCAATTTTAAATGGTAGCCAATAGGGTCAGTGTAGATTGTGCAGTCTGACTCTAGCCAATGGGGACAGGACACAGAACCAGGGATTAACCGTGTTAGGGATAAAAACCCCTTCCCTCCTTTGTTTGGTGTGCTCTTACAGCACGGCCAGAAGTGCAACCAGCACCCTTCTGCAGAAGTAAATTTGCTTTGCTGAGAAATGCTTCGTTTGGGTGCTTGTTTTCCTTGTCACTCCAAGCCCTTGTTTCTAACAACTTGGGGGCTCATCCGTGATTGCCTTTCTCATCCGGGAAGAGGTCCCTGACCATCTCTCATGAGGAGATGCATCCCACTGTCTCGCTGCGGTGTCCTCAGGGATGAGGGATCAGGACCTCCCCCAGCATGACAAATAAACCTGGACTCTCAGCAACGCAGGTGAAAGGGATCCTCACATACCATGGCGACCAGGTAACTCTGTGCACAAACCAAGGTAAGAAAAGTCACAGGGGCAACAAAGTATTTCCTTGGTAGTTGGTACATCTTGGAGGTTGAATGTGTGTGAATGAGATGTATAATTAAGCACAAAGCCAGTGTGGAGTCCGGATCTGCAGTTCTGTGGTCACCTCATACGGCTTATGGCAGATTCCTGTCGTGGGGCTTATACCAACACACTGATGCTAAGAGGGACTTAAATTCCCACGACGGAAGCAGCCAGAGAAG